AGGAGTGTAATAATTTGCCGGCGTATATGCCGGCATATCTTTCCGTCCGAATACAATCTGGGCGTCTTCAAGGCAAGAGTGAATAGACTTTTGTTACGATAAGACAGTGCGATTTACCATCTAAGGCTGCATCACCACCTACCACCAGGTGGAATTGTGGTCAAGCACTGGCTTATAATAAGTAAAAAAAAATATAAGTAGGTTGTACAAATTTTTTATTTTACCGCTTGTTCTTACTTATTTATCAGTATACTGTTGGACTGTTATATACTGATGATGATAATAACTGACTTTGACTAGAGCATAAGCAAGTGCAGTGTGAGTCGTCTTGCACCTTTGACGCTATACCCCTTCACCATTCTGGGTCAAAGACTGCTATGAATACTGTTAGACCGGCAATTAAATCAATAAATCAACAGTGGTAGAGCCACGCGGCAGCTTTTGCTGTCGCACGGATGGGCCGGCTCGAACCGGGGTAGTACCACGACCTCACAGAAAACCAGCGTGAAATAGAGGTTTACCTCTGCGTTTCGCTTGGTGAGTGAAGGTGGCTGGAGGCCCTTTTTACTGGAAATGAGGCATTCCATCTTAGTCCTCACGGGTGACAACGCATCTACATTTTTATTTGTAACAGAGGATAGATGTAGATGTCTATGGGCCGCAGCAACCACTTACCATCAGGTGGACTGTGTGCTCGTTTGTCACCCTTATACTATAAAAAAAAAATTCGAAACAGAAACAGTGTTCAAACCATATATTTAGTATAAACTCTATGTCTATGGTTTTTTTTGCAATACCGTTTATTCTTCTAGGTTTATTTATTTTTCTAGGAGTCGGTCTGGGTAGGGATCAACCTGTTAACTATTTCTGCGGGTAAAGATTGTCCGTGTACTCCATGGACTGCAGTCGCCACTTACCATCAGGTGGACTGCGCTGCACTTACAAAAAGTACTTCTTATTGGTTTTGTTCGTCATTTTGACTGTAATATTTTTATTATAGTTTAATTTTTAATTGTAACTGATATAAGATAACAGAGGATAACTTAAATTCTTGAAGATGGTATTTAAGAACTTAAGTTATCGGGGTCGTATCTTATATCAGTTACAATTTACTATTTCTAATTACGATATACATTTTATATCGCCTATAAAACTACTTTTAACTATTCAATAAAAATGAAAAATAGCTAAAGTGCCAACGTGAAAAATTTACAAAACTGTAAAGAAATGTATCTACAATTTAACTTAATTCTGTTCAATAGAGGTTTTAATTCGACAGGCTGATTAGTTATCGCTAATATGATTTTCGTCCGGGTCGATCAGCTGGTGATCTTCTGGTCTACCTGACTCACAGATTCAAGGGGGAGGCATTGGCCGTTAGTTTGGACATTGCGAAGGCCTCCGATCAGGTTTGACACAAAGCGCTTCTTTCGAAACTCCCTTCCTATGCGCTTCCCGTGAAATTATGCAATTGGATCACCAGCTTTCTTGCAGATCGGAGCATCAAGGTCGTAGTAGACGGTGCATGCTCTGAATACAAGCCTATTAATGTTGGTGTTCCACAAAGCTGCGTGCTATCACCAAGGCTGTTTCTTCTGCATATCTACGATATGTTGCAAACCGGAACATTCATTGCTATGCGGATGACAGCACTGGTGATGCTCTATACACCGACCGTGCCAGTATTTCTCGGGAAAGCGAATGCCGGAAGAAACTTGTGTCTGAAGTCGAGTCTTTGTTGAACAAAGTCTCTGATAGGGGGTGATCTAGTCTAGTTTAATCCCCAGAAGACACAAGTTTGCACATTTACCGCTAAAAAGAACCCCTTTGTCGTACCTCTTCAGTTTTAAGGCACTCCCCTTGTTGCCTCAGCTAGTATCGAAATCCTCGGCGTCGACACATCGAATGATGTGGAGTTTCGTGGATTTGGAAGCGAAGGTAAAATTGGCCTCTAAAAAGCTTGGCGTGCTCAACAGAGCGGGACAGTATTTCATGCCGGCACATCGCCTACAACTTTACAAGGCGCAGGTTCGGCCTCACATTCAATACTGTTCTCATCTCTGGGCCGGGGTACCCCAGTGCCAGCTCCTTCCACTTCACCCCATCCAGCGCAGAGCGGTTGGAATCGTCCGAGTTCTCGATTGGCTCGATTCACTGGCGCTGCGAAGAGATGTTGCATCCCTTTACATTTTCATTCGCATCTACCACGGGGAGTGCTCTGAGATATTGATCGGATTAATCCCAGCCGCCAAATCTCCTCTCCTATAAAAAAGGCAATAATTTACAAATTTGTCAGAAAAACTAGCGTATTTACAAGTTTACATTATTGTAGATTTTACTAGTATTTAGCAGTGTGACTTAAGTAGGTATAACGTTTGTTAGATATGGCCGTGGTGGTCTTTTATAAATTTCTCAACCTGTAAACCATTTCTAATGATTTACAGGCATGGAAAAATGTAATATAGATTTAATATATATTTTGTACTATAATCCACATTATATTTAAAGTATTTCTCCGACTTACTGGCAGATAATGCTCAAGTTTGAATAAATGAAATTAGAAAATATGTTTTTATGGGATGTTGAGTCTGTTGTAAGAAAGGGTTTCGAAAATAAAATTCTTGGTGTAATTGAGGAACAAATGTTCGCAATTCACTTCGATACCAATAAAAACATATTATCTTAGAGCTTATGAAACAACCAGAAGGCAATGGGGTTGTTGAATTTCGTTAGAAAAATTCTAAGAGTATATATAAGCAAGTTATTATGCTCTATAATATATTGTAAGGGAAATATTGATTTTCGGTTTGTCGTGTTTAAACTTTGTACTTTTGTACACAGAAAAAGTAGCCGCACCCCCTTTGCTTACAATAAATGAGTTTATCTTATTTCAAAACAAAGTACGTACGTGTCTTCTCCTTCTCACATATTTCAATACGCCTCAAACTGAATATAGAATTATGCAGTTATCAAGACCTTGAACAACAATGTCTCAATAGCGATTACTCTCAATTTCTCAATTACCGTGTGTCCACTATTGTGGGGACGGTGGGTTACACCTGACTCTTTAGGGTTGCCATTAAACTAGGTGGTAACTGCATAGTTGCACATTTTAAACAGATTATAGTATACTTATATTACACAGTGAGATAACGGTAAGTGTGGTGATGTACTTATATCGATTTGGTTATGTAAAATTTATACAGATATAAATTCAAGATCTTGGGGAATAATCTAGCCTCCCTAAATCTCCAAATGTCCATTGCAGGACATAGGTTCTGATTCTACACAGGATTTTTTAATGCATACATTTTAAACTCTAGAGAAGTGCGAAGAGTTAAATTATTACAGCTAAATGTTAAATTATTAGTTACGTCACTTTTCTATAATAACTGATTTGTGCTCACCAAATTACAACAATAAATGTGTTGTGTGCATACAAAATGTAGACATTATTTTTTTTTGATGAATTATAATTGGATGCACACACTGAATTAGTCGTCTATTCCACTTTAATTTTAACATTGGGCGGTTTTCCATTTACCGGCACGGCACGGCAACGACGCCTTGGCTTCGTTTTTCCACTGCGCCGGTGCTAGTGCCGGTGCCGGTTTACACTCGGTTCTTGGGCAGTACTAACATAGACTTCAGTTTTACAGCACGTGAAAATTGTCTCATCAAGGCGTGGTATTTGTTTGTTATATCTCTTACATTTAGACGAAAGACGAAAATATAATCAACGCACAGAAGTCAAATTTTGAATTCATCCAATATTAAAAATAAAATACTTAGAAGTAACATATTATACCCTATTTTAAAAATTGGAAAAAATATTTCTACTACTTCCGCATGAACTTGAAGACATTTCATCATTTTGCTCAATCCCAACGCGTCCCTTCTACTTCGGCCCACGCACACGCACACGGCTGCAATACGTACACAAACACATGCAGTTTAGCCAGCCGGCAAGCCGGCAACCAGTGGGAGGCTTGCTGTCAGCTGTCACGGCGACGGCACCGGTGGGAGTCATCACCGGTCAAGTACCGGTAAATGGAAAACCGCGCATTGGCTCTCAAGAAATCAAAGATATTTTAATAATAATCGTAAATCGATTCAAAATGTTCCTTTCACCGTTACTTCGCCGGTCTGATAAACTTCAGTTTGAAATGGTAGTAGACTAAAAATAAAGAATGACTAAATTTTAATTTCTTACATCCGAGAAATAAGGATGTTTTATTTCAATATTTTAGTTTTGATCAGACAACCCTATTCTTTATTGAATTAGTGCCACGAGCATTCATGTGGCTAAGAATGTTTATTGATTACCTAGATTATTGCAAGCGGTGTCTTTTATTTTGATGAGTTTCTCTGTGACATCAATGGTAGAATGTAATCAAAAATTAAAAGGATGAATTTCACGCATATCACCGATCTATTAAAAAAGGTTTCACATTTTCAAAGTTATCATATAGGCCCAATAACGCATGCGGATGCAAAATTTACCAGCTAAATATTATCAGGAACATCGACGCACCACTTAACGGTTGGAATCTCTAATTGCTAAGGCCTTGGATTTGAATACTAAGCAAAGTCAATCTCAAACGCATCTTACAGTATCTAAAGTCTTCTATGTCTATGTACTTTCGATGTTTTCATAAGTGTTTTAGCGGGTACAAGATACGACCTTATGTATTCATCATCTTTATTATCACCAATACGGCTCTTAATAAGTCTACTGCTGAACATAGACCTACCTGAAAGAATGCCACAAAACATGGTCCAGCCATCTGCTTGCTTTATGCCTTACTAGGTGTCATTACATCTAATAGGGGGTCGCACTACACTCCAATGGGCAACGATGTAACTTAGATATATTTTAACAAGATCTCGATCGTTTACATATACACAGCATTATGGCATGAAGTAACTAATGTATAATTAGCGTAAGTCAACTAGCGTCCTTGGACTTGGTTTTTCTAAATTGCATGTTTGTCTTGCAGATATCGCTGCCCAATTTCCTGTTCGTGTCGTACAAATTGACCGATGCAAGTACTTGCGTGACGACCAATCCGGCCGCAACTAAATTCAAAGGAGAAGAAACTGCCGATCCAAAACAGCACCTCACACTGCGACTCAAAAATATTTTACAAGATGTCGAAGTACAAACCAAGTGAGAATGAAAGATTTGAAGTTTAAGGATTTATATAACATGGAATTTTTTAATTATATTTAATTACGCTCATGTAAAAATATTACCTTTTTGAAAGCTTATCACCAGAAAAATGAATATACACTGCAGGCCAAAAGTTTAAGACCACCTTAATTAAAGTAGGAAAATTAAATAAAACTCCAATAAAATATTAAATATTTAATTAAACTGTTAAATCATCCAATAAAACACTTTTTAAATATCAGTATACTTGAAAAGCGTAAAGAAATATTAACAGTCCATGCTAAAAAAGGCTATAGTTAGCTAAACTGATTTTTCATTAAAAAATCCTCCTTTGCATTCTATGACTGTTTTCACATGTCCCGGCATACGGGCAATCAATTTGTTGATAGTGTCTTGTGATATATTGCTCCAACTTTCGCACAAAGTATTCCACATTTCTTTTTTCTTCGCGAGAATGGACCACAATTACGGAAGTTCCTATTAAGCTCTTCCCACAAAAGTTCAATGTGATTGAGATCCGGGCTCTAAGGAGGCCAAACAATGTTTTTTAACACCCCTTGTGCCTCTTTCTCTTCCAAATATCCTCTGCATAATTTTGAGCTATGCTTAGGATCATTGTCCTATTAGAAAATGAATCTCCAATTAATCGCAACCCCGAAGGAGCGGCAATTTGTTCTAAAAAATTTTTGTACTCTTCCTTTTTCATAATTCTGTCAATTTTGATCAAATCGCCAGTTCCTTGGCTAGAAAAGCAAACCTAGACCATAATTGAGCCACCACCATGCTTGATTGTTGGGACTACACAGTCTGGCATCATCTTTTCTTGGTCATTGCGTCGAACGTAAATTCTTCGTTTTGAACCGAATAGCTCAAACTTGGATTCATCGGTCCAAAGAACTTTTTTAAAATCTTCTTCAGTCCAATCTCGATGGGCAAGGGCCCATTGCATCAGTTTTTTCTTATTTTGTTGCCTTAGCAGAAATTTTCGAACGGCGACACGACCATACAATTTCGCATCGTCGCCGTTTTACTGTAGTCAATGATAAAGGTTTAACTCGGGTTTTGTTTACTTCAACGCGGATTCCCGGTGCTGTTAAGCGTCTATTTCGCTTGCTGGTAACAACAATGAAAAGATCTTCACTTGACGTCGTAGCTCTTGGCCTTCCCGAGCGTGGACGATCTTGAAAAGTGCCTGTCTCCCTGTATCGAGTTATTGTGCCATGAACACAAGTCTTCGATAACTTCAATTATTGACTAATGGGAAACAAAAGCAAAGCAATTAGTTATTAGCCCATCATAAAAATTATTATCACGACTCTACCAACTGGCCTAACGCAGCGTTTGTCGGTGTTTGAAAACAATACATGTTTATTTTCCAATAACTTGAAATTAAATAAAAGAATGACTTCTTTAGATATTCGATCTTAAAACAATAGAATATGCAGGTGTATATTTCTTTTATTTATCTTATGGAATTTCGTTACAATTTATAGATAATTATGTTGTTTAAGCGTAGTCTTAATCTATTGGCCGGCAGTGTATTAGTAAAAACATAGTAAGGAACAGGCATTTTAAAATCAATAAAATATGACAAAAATATTGTATTGATCTGTCTGTCGTTAATCTGCTATAATATCCAAAATTTACGGGAATTCCATTAAATTTAGGTCACTATGGAATGAAATTAAATAAAAGACGTATAATCATATTGAATATAATATAATGCTTTCCAGAGCCCACCTCCAAGAGAAATTTCTCTCAGATCTTCGCAAAGCGCGCGAGACTTACAGTGGTACGGAACTTGCGAACGTTTTGCACGCAATGCGTCGAAGATTGGACGATCCAGCCGTTCTCTCTGGAGATACTATACTTAACATGTTGATCTCATACAGGGAAATACAGGATTATGACGCCATAGTTCAGGTTGTGGATGATCTCAAGACCATTATGAATAGAAAGAACTATGTGAATATGCCGATAATTAGGTTTATGTATGCGTTTGCAATGAACAGGTAAAGTTTAAAAAAAATCTTTTATCAATAAAAGTAAAGCGTTTTATTATAATACTATTTAAATTGGTTATAGTGCAATGGAGTATTTAGTCTCTGATATATTGTAGTAAGGTGCATAATCAGTTGCTAGGAAAACTTTTTTCATAAAAGCGAATAAATTGAAAAAAAAATGCGCTAATGATTCAAATAATATGTGTTTTAATTGAATCATGAGCGCATTGTGCTGACGTGCTCTGTATAAAACTAAAAATATCACCCCCAAAACTCATTAAAAAGTCTTTCTTTGTTGTTTATTACATTTGCACTGTATACAAATATAATTAACATTTATTATGTATTAGTTTACTTAATTATGTACTTGTATATTTCAAATTATAATTGGTTGTGTATTAAAAGATTCTAAATTATAATTATTAAGAATGACGGAGATAAAAAAGTATATATTGTTTATAAATGTAACACTGTTGCTTGTGATTAGTGTTACTCTGGTGTAATTTTATTTGTTTTAATATTTCAGAAGAAACAAAGAGGGTGATCGAGAGAACGCTTTGAAAGTGTGCGTTAAAGCGTTAGAGAAGAAAGAAAATCGGTTTCCTGATATGTTGTGTTTATGTGGGCGTATTTATAAAGATAAATTCGTAGAATCTCAACACACTGATATGGAAAGCTTAAAAAATGCCATTCACTGGTAAGTTTTCGCTAAAGCTAAGACAAATTTGAACTAACGATTACTGTATGTTAACTACATAATTTTGTAGTTATAGTAAAATTATTTTGTCCGTGCAGTTGGGGTCATAAATCATAGCTCGGCCTCAGCCCGGCTAGAGCGGTGAGCTGTTGCGCGGGCGTAACGCCATTATCGATAACAACAAATGACTCATCGAAGGCAGGTACACGGCGGCGGTGTGGTATACAAAGGCTGGTGCGACATTGTTATGTTATGCGTCATTTGTTTTCCATTATTACCCCCGCCTAATACCTGCAAATTAGTGCAATGATAATTTCGAAGAGAAATTTGTTTTTGCGCATTCGCTCTCTGAATTTCTTTAGTGACACAATGGCTACTCCTTTGTTTTGTACCAAAACGGCAGAATTAATTCAAAATAATACTTTGCCTGTTGGCACCAATATACCAGCAGAAGCACGTGTTGTTATCAACAATGTTTTAACATTTTTCACTGAAATGAAAATAGATCCCGAAAAGTTACAGTGTTAATTTGTGCCGTTCTCGTAAACTTGTTGCGGCGATATGTGGTGTGAGTGTTTGAGCGGCCTTGTATAGTAACTGCGTTAGATGACTGTAATTAAACAAATAGTGTCATCGTTTTATCGTGACGGTGTATATCCTTCCACGGCTAAAATTTTGAGTACAGCAAAAGAAATAATTGACGGATTCCAGTATTCTATTTCTTCTATGCGTAAAATACTCATAGAACTTGTGTACAAGTACACAGAAGCTCCAGATGGTCGTAAACAATTGATGGAAAGGACTGACATCGTTTGTGCGCTGTGTGTATAAATATAAATACGTTGTTTTATCCATTTTTTTTAAATTTTTATCACTAACCCACATAATGACAAAACTAAATACACTATCGATAACGCTTATCGACAACAATAATGTGCATCACTATGCTCGCCCCTAAGGCCCGTGAGTGGGAGAGAGAGCGAAATACTCCGATGATTTATGACCCAAACTGCACGAACAAAATAATTCTAGTATAGGCAAGTCTTATTTGTTGTAAAAGTGGTGTTTGTTTTTACATACTTTTTAAATTCGAGGCAGAGATAAAAAGTTAATCTAGCTTACTTCTTGGACCTTATATTATATGAATTCGCCATCATCATCATTATAGCCTATCAAAAATCTACTGCTGAACACAGCCTCATAGGGAGGGGGGTGGGGATGTTTGCCATATTTGTGTAGCTTGGCAAGCGGGTCGGCAACTGCATGTTTTTATTTTTATTCAGATGTTGTCAGGAAGATGCTGCTGCTCATTTCCTGGTTCAGTTTCCATCTGGCCGCTATCTTTCCGCTTTTTATGATACCAACGGAACGATATAGTAATCGTGGATATACTTACCCCACCACTGAACTGTTATTATAAATTAATTATTTTGGAATAATTATAATTAGCAGAATAATTTAGGTCATCGAAACATTGAAGTATTAAAGACATTTTAACAGCTCTTATCGTTTCTATATTTTGATACCATTGCGTAGTGCACACACATAAATTTAATTTATTTTCAGGTACAGACAGGGATTTGAAGTGCAGCCAAATGAATATGCGGGTATTAATTTAGCGACGTTATTAGTTATAGCCGGTAATGACTTCAAAGATTCTCAAGAATTGCAACACATAGGTAAGTGTTATTTAGTAGGCGGTGTTTTTCTATAAAAATTCTGTCTTCCTTATCACCAGTCCGTAAAAAGTTCACAACTGAACTCGAGCCTATCATATACTAAAGAAGATCTCTAAAGCGATTGTGATGAAATTTTCGTGAAATTTCACGAAAAGATAGGGAGCAATACCAGGAGTGGCCTTGGTTATATTTAACAGTCTCTTACAGAATCATCATCATCATCATCATCATCATTACAGCCCTTCACAAGTCCACTGCTGAACATAGGCCTCCCCCAAGGAATGCCACAAAGCACGGTCCTGAGCCACCTACATCCATCAACTTCCTTCATGTCTTACCAGGTCGTCACTCCATCTCGTGAGGGGTCGCCCTACACTTCGTCTACCGGTACGAGGCTGCCACTCAAGAACCTTTCTTCCCCATCGGTTGTCGGTTCTTCGAGATATATGGCCGGCCCATTGCCACTTCAGCTTACTAATCCGTTGGCTATGTCGGTCACTCTGGTTCCACTGCGGATATTTTTTTTTTTTATAGGATAGGGTGACAACCGAGCACACAGTCCACCTGATGGTAAGTGGTTGCTGTGGCCCATAGACATCTACATTTATCCTCGTTTGCGAATCAAAATGTAGATGCGTTGTCACCCGTGAGGACAAGGATGGAATGCCTCATTTCCAGTAAAAAGGGCCTCCGGCCACCTGCACTCACCAAGCGAAACGCAGAGGTAAACCTCTACTTCACGCTGGTATTCTGTGAGGTCGTGGTACCACCCCGGTTCGAGCCGGCCCATCCGTGCGACAGCAAAAGCTGCCGCCTGGCTCTACCACTGTTAAAATATATATATATCCTCATTTCTAAGTTTATCACGCAGAGAAACCCCGAGCATAGGCCTCTCCATAGCTCGCTGAGCGACCTTGAGCTTCCTTATCCGGCCAGCAGTGAAGGACAACGTCTCAGTTCCATATGTCATCACTGGCAACACGCACTGGTTGTACAGTCTCGTTTTCAAGTTTTGAGGAGAGTCCTGACGAGAAATGTGCCGTAATTTCTCGAACGCTGCCCAGCCGAGTTGAATCCGTCGATTGACCTCTCGGTCGAAGTTGGACTTACCTAGTCGGACTATTTGTCCCAGGTAAACATACTCGTCAACAACTTCGAGCTTAGTGCTCCCAACCACTACCGGCATAGGTGTGACATGGACATTAAACATGATCTTTGTTTTGTCCATGTTCATCTTAAGACCTATCCGTTGGGAAACACTATTGAAGTCATTGAGCATAGTGCTTAGGTCCTCCAGCGATTCTGCCATAAAGACTATATCGTCGGCAAATCGAAGGTGAGTGATGTACTCGCCATTGATGTTGATACCGTATCCTTTCCAGTTCAGAAGCTTGAAAACGTCTTCCAATGCAGCGGTAAAAAATTTCGGGGATATGACGTCACCCTGTCTTACACCTCTCTGCAATTGGATAGGTTTCGTACTCTGGTTCTGTACTCGGATAGCCATCGTAGCGCACTGTACAAGCACTTCAAAACTTCGATATACCGACAGTCAACTTGGCACCGCTGAAGGGATTGCAGCACCGCTTAAATTTCGACGGAACCAAAGGCTTACTCATAGTCCACATACGCCAAACATAGTGGCAAATTGTACTCCTCGGACTTCTGTACAATTTGCCGAAGGGTATGTGTGTGGTCTATGGTGCTAAAGCCTTTTCGGAAACCGGCTTGTTCGGGAGGCTGGAAGTCGTCAAGTCTGCGCGCGAGACGATTCGTAATGACTCTCGAAAACAGCACGTAGACGCGGCTCAGAAGGGAAATCGGTCTGTAGTTCTTCAATAGAGCGTTGTCGCCTTTCTGGAAGAACAAGACCATCGCACTTCTGCTCCACGCCTCCGGTGTAGTAGCCACCATGAAGGACGGAATTAAAGAGCTTCTGAAGGACTTCAAGTACCGGTTTTCCACCCGCTTTCAGAAGCTCCGCTGTAATTCCATCCTCACCTGGGGCCTTGCCGTTTTTAAGGTGCTGGAGAGCCATTCTAATCTCGCTCAGACTGACGTCCGGGATATCATTGGAATAATGTCGCATAAGACTCTCTCTTGGATCGTTACTCACACTTGAGTGTGGCTCCAACGATGATGTGTACAGGTGTCCCGGAAATGACATTGTCATTCATATCGTCTACTGCATTGCAATGTTCTAGGCTCTGAAAACGGTTTCGTAGCTCGAGCTGAAAGGTTTCGGGACTTTGGTTTAGAGTACGAAGGGGACGGAGCGTTGACTTCATTAGACGTGATCTCTCCAACTTAACGTTTAGGTTGAGTGTGCCTCTCACCATTCAGTGATCGCTGCCGGTTCACCCTCGCGGTCACTGCGACATCACTGAACAGTTGTCGTTTGGTCGTCATAATGAAGTCAATCTTATTTTTTGTTGAACCGTCGGGGCTGGACCAGGTCCACTTCCTGTGGGGCCGCTTCTGGAAGAAAGAGTTCTCCATGAAGTCGGCCAGCTGCTGGCTCCTTGGGTTCCGTTGCCCTATTACGAATTTCCCTACTTTCAGCTCACCGTTCTCTTGTGCCTAGTTTTGCGTTGAAGTCTCCCATTAACACCTTATAGTGAGTTTTGGAGGAATGCATGGCTCTAGAGATACCCTCATACATTTCCTCCACCTCCTCATCGGGGTGTGCCGAGGTTGGTGCGTAAAGCTGTATGACCTTCAGCGAATACCGTTTGATGATTCTGAGTATAAGGTACGCAACCCTCGTCGACACACTCGCAATCTTTACAACGTTGTTAACGAGAGACTTGTGGACGATAAATCCGACACCTCCCTGGGACAGATGGTCGCCCTCCCGGTGATAGAACAAGTTGCTGGATTCGAGGATTACCGTGTCCTCCCCGTCTATTCTGAACTCTGATAATCCTATGATATTCCAGCGCAATTTGTCTATCTCTTCTTCCAGCTCCAGGATCTTCTCGTCAGTCCTCAGGCTGCGTGCGTTATAAGTTGCCTGGTCGAAACGTCGTAGGTTGCAACCGAACCTCCACCGGAGATTCTTAGCACCCCCTGCCCCGCCGTTACCATGGTCGCCACCGTAGCCAGGAATAGCGGGGCTGCCGGGGCCTGGGGGCCGTCTCTTCGTTACTCTCATGAGGGGTATATTGTCATAGTTGCCACGCTTGGCGAGCGGGTTGGCAACCGCAGTTTTTTTATTGCTGTTTTGCTATTATCAGAAAGATGCTGCTGCCCATCCTCTGTCTCAGTTTCCCTCTGTCGTCTCTTACGACACCCACGGGAAGACATGGGGTAGTGAGTATTCTGTCCCGCCACTACACGGGAGAGACTTACAGAATACCAGCATAAAACAGCAGAATACTGCTGTGTTTCATTTTATGTTGAGTGTAGAGAACCGACCCTTTTTACTGGTAACGAGGCATTCCATCTTAGTGACAACGCGTCTGCCTTTTGATTCTTAATCGAGTATAGATGTAGATGTCTTTGGCCAGCAGCATTCACTTACCATCTGGTGAACTGTGTACTCACTTATCACCCTTATTTTATATTAAAAATAAATAAAAGCCATGATGTTTCCTTGTACATCATCACACTAATAAATAAAATAAAAAAAACCTTTAAAATTGCTACAAAAGATGCTCTTTTTTCATACTTTTTACAGACAACTGATGTGGTCAAAGATATTTATTTACTCGTAGTTTATCTACAAATCAGTAAACTATATATAAAAACAATATACTTGTTTCTAGGTAGGGTGCTGAATCATTTAATAGGAAAAAAGGGCAGTCTGTCGTCACTTAAGGACTATTGGGATGTGGCTACGTTCTTTGAAATATCAGTACTGGCTCAGGATTATGTTAAAGCCATACAGGCCGCCGAATGTATGTTCAAATTGAAACCACCAAACTGGTATCTCAAGTCAACCATAGGAAATATTGAATTAATAGACAGGTATGATGGACCCAAACTGTTACCGAAAACTTTTACGTCTTAAATAGTAAGATATCTGGTTATATTTAATACTAAACTAAATATAAACATTTGGGCTCTTTTTTTGTATCAAATCTTGTTCCGTCCAACACAATTGGTTAGCATGCTTTTCATAAATTATTAGGTTCAAAATGATTTTTAGAAGATAAATTATACTGCCCCTAAATTGATGATTAAAATAAATAAAGTGATAAAATATGGTTTCTTATAGAAAATAATTTTGAAAAATATTGATTTTCTGTGTTATTTATATTCGTACTGATTTCATTTGAAATGAAGAGTTACGGTTTGGTTTGTTTGTTAATTGTTTAACATGACATTGTCTTAATTATTATAGATTTAGAAAGAAAAATGAAGAGACCTCACCAGAACAACAAGTGTTTTCATTCTGGATGGAATTTTTTGTGGAAGCAACTAAGAGTACATGCGAGAATATCATAAGATTTCCGGCAAGTCTTATTTACTTTATTTCAAATTTTTTAAGAATCACTTTTGTTAATTTTATTTAAACTTTCACAATTTTTATTTCATTTTCAACACCGAATCAAATAATTCTATAATTTTAGGTATTAATATTAGAAACAACTAAGATCTACATGCCATCATACGTAAATGTCAATATGGGAGCAGAACAAAAATCGGTTGAAATTTTTAACTTGTGCCTTGATTCAATGCGCGGTGACTGTAGGCAAGTGCATCGGTGGCTGTTCACTTCGGATATGATCCGGACATACAGGTATAATCACATACATTCACATTTTTAATTATCACGATACATACTAATTGTATGTGTAGTGGCGGTGTAAGAAAATCCACTACTCCATATCATCCCATGGGTGTCGTAAGAGGCCACAAAGGGGAACAAATCAGGACGTGGACAGCAGCGTCTTCCTAATAACGACTAAAACAAAAATAAACTGCGGTTGCCAACCAGCTTGTCAAGCGTGGCAACTTTGGCAAATATCCCGCCTATGAGGCAATCTGTGGGAGGCCTATGTTCAGCAGTGGACTTTAATAGGCTGTAACGGTAACGATATACTAATTGTAAACATTATTAGTTAGTGTTTCTTTTATAAGCTTATGCAACCAACAACCTAATACTGCAACCCATGGACACGAACAAAAAAAAATGTGCCACAGTCTGTAATGATACTAGTCCATTATAATTATATCCCTCAGAATGAAACTCATTAGAGAATGCTTAGCAACAGAAATAGCGTTAGCAAGAAGATGTAAAGTAGGGTTTATTAGCAGTGATCTTCACAAGTGTCAAAATTCGCATTAAATGTTTTATAGTCTCGTTTTTTTTTGTTGTTTGCTTTCTTGGCTGTAATCGGCCTCTTGACCGAATATCAATTACATCGTCAGTACTTTAGTCTCAGCAATATTATTAAAAAGAAATTTAATGATATGCTCTTGTTTTATTGCAGTTTGTATAAACGCGACGAACGCTGCTTATTTTTGTATGTAAGCGAGAATTCTGACGATTTTCAAATATTTCTGCCATCGCAAGCGTTTCGACAGCATTTGTACGACCTTTTAGGAGAATTAACAGCAGATCACGAGAAAGTCACAGATTTAGACACTAGTGTTATGCAAGATCAACTCAAGGCAAGTTCAATCACATCAATTAAAATTAAATAAAGTTTCCTTTTGAGTGCTGGTAGCGTAAGAAATTCCATTTGAATGTCATAAAAGGTGACTACGGGTAATGCCAGTAGGATCTTATGGCTGAATCATCTCGCTTATGCCAGACATAAAATATCCAGATCGATGATTGGCAACAGCCTCCTTCAAAGGTGCAACGCGTCTGGCACTACTAATAGTTGATCCGTCTGCCAAGCGTAAATCCCCTTTCTTGTTATTCATTAGTAGACATCTATTTTATTCAGTTTTGATATATTCAATAAAACTACTTTTATGGATTCTATCGCGTTTAATTAACATATTTTTTATTTTTATTAAATTCCCGATGTTTCGGGTGCTTTACAGCACCCATGGTCACGGCAGTTTTGATATATTGAATAAAACTACTTTTACTCAATCTCAATATATCAAAACTGCCGTGACTGATCAGTGATCAGTCCCCTGAGACCATGGGTGCTGTAAAGCACCCGAAACGTCGGCAATTTAATTTAAAAAAAATAAGTTAATTAAACGCGATAGAATCCGTAAAAGTGGTTTTATTCAATGTGTAGTGTTCGTGTAAATATAGGAAATCATCAATTTTGATATATTTAATATTGTTATATCGCTGTTTATCAGATATATCAGACATTGTTTTGTTACACCTACACTACAGACTTCAGTATGAAATTTAGTAGGTTTGAGTGTCGTAAGAAAAGAAAAGAAAAGAGCCTACTCCTTTTTAAAAGGCCCGCAACGCATCTGCAATTCCCCTGGTTCCCCTGGTGTTGCAGTTGTTCATGGGCGGCGTTAGTCACTTACCATCAGGTGAGCCGCATGCTCGTTTGCCTCCTCTCCTATAAAAAAAGAGGATAAGACTGTGTAATCAGACAGAAGACATTATACGTAACTATCTCATATTTATATCACTGTTAAATACCCAAACGGGCGCTGAAAAGTCAAAGGGGCGAAGTCTCCTGCAATGCGGTTGTCAATCAAGCCTGTTATTCGTGTCGATTATCGAAAATATTAATACATACTAGCTCGATCGGGGACGACCCACGCTCTCACAGAATACCAGGATAAAATAGCATCTTAATGCTCCTGTGTTTCGGATGGTTAGTTTGGATTTCGATTAGAGCTTGGAATCGGAGTCTTATTTTACAGGTAACAGTATTCCATCGTAGGGGAACTCGTATGCTTTTTGATTTTTAAACAAGGATAAATGTGAATGTCTGACGGAATGGGTGGACGGTGAACTTGTTTGTCACCCTTATTCTATAAAAGGAACATATTAATATAATTTCACCCTTAGATATATTACAGATAAGTATAAATATGTTGAAAAAATAATTAAACATTAAATTTTAATACGAATACAAACTGCAATTGTTTTGAAAACACTGTGAACATTGGCAGAACTTAGAAAAATCACCCATAAGACTCAAGCAGGCGACTTATACGACTCACACTGGCTGTTTCAAATCGCCAATCTAATACATTTGCGTTCAACTTTTGACCATCAACATTATTACAGCGCATCACAAGTCCACGGCTGAACATAGGCCTGCCTCAAGGAATGACACAAAGCACGGTCCTGAGCACCTGCATTCATCGATTTTCTGTGTCTTACCAGGCCGATACGAGGCCTCGTAAGTACCAGGCAGGTACTTACGAGGCCGCCACTCGAAAATCTTTTTCCCCCATTGTTTGACCGGCCATATAGCTCGAAGAAGCTATTTAGCAGGGAATTGCCACTTAAGCCCTACGATCCGTTGGGGTATGTCGGTTATTTATTGTGACATTTATGGATGGATTATTCGTCATAAGTCTAATATAATAAAATCATTGTAATTGCTTCCACGATACAGGAGAAAATCCTAGTGTGGGGGTAACGTAATTAAGAAAGAAAAAAAAATTGTAATGAATAAAATGTTTAGTTCGAATACGAATACGACGGCAACAAGCGCGTGGTGCTGGGCAAGGGGACGTACGGCGTGGTGTACGCGGCGCGGGACCTCAACACGCAGGTGCGCATCGCCGTCAAGGAGATCCCCGAGAAGAACCTCGGCGACGTGCAGCCGCTGCACGAGGAGATCCTGCTGCACTCGCAGCTGCGGCACAGGAACATCGTGCAGGTAGTTACTACCCTACAGTGCTAACTTGTCACTCCATGTTACTTATATACCGTTAATAATCTTTAACTGACTCTATCTCATACTTACAGAATCCATCCATCCATCATAGTTTTACCATAAAAATGGTGTATAATAATAAATATTCTCTCAATAGTCGCGTATTCATCGCGTTTTTATATGCGCAATTTAATAATTAAACTGAAGTGTTTTTTTTCTACAGTATTTGGGGTCAATATCAGAAGACAACTACTTCAAAATTTTTATGGAACAAGTACCCGGAGGCTCGCTTTCTGCCCTATTGAGATCTAAGTGGGGTCCTCTTAAAGAAAATGAAGCGACTATTGCTTATTACACTAAGCAGATTTTGGAAGGTATTTTTTTCTTAATATATTTTATATGTTTGAATGTAGGGTCTCTATACAAATTTGGTATGTTGATACTATTTTAACCCATTTTCCGTACCGTGACCCACATATGGTTCATCGCTAATGTCTTACTATTGTGTGTGGAAATCAGACATTGAATATGTTGAAAATTAAAATTGGTTTTTCTAAAATTCACAATTAAGAAGCAGGTATAGTTAAATTCGTAACATACGTTAATTTATAATATTACTAGCTGGCCAGGCAGACGTTGTTCTGCCCTCTCCGACGACCATGTGTATTATAAAAATTCTTAAATTCGTATTAAAAAATATTGAGCGTCACTTATAAGGATAAAAACTATCCTATCTCTCAAGTTGGATTAAACTGCACACAGTGTGCAAAATTTCATTGCATTGTTTAGTACTTTAGGAGTTCATCGCGGACAAACAATGTGACACGTAATTTTTATATATAAAGATTTACATTTAACTTTTATAACATAATGCATACATATATTTTACTCTATAATCTCTATATATACATATGTATATAATTTAATAAATATCCTTTTAGACTACAAAAAATACTTTCAAATTTAAATATGAATATCTTAGTTTTGTATTTAATTATTTAGTAGTGTAGTAATTTAATAGGAGCATTTTATTGTTGTTGAGATTGTTGTATACTAACTTTTTCATACAAGTTAGGGTTACAAGTGTTACAAACAAGGAAACAGTCCACTTGATGGAAAAATTCCTTGATTACAAATCAAAATGCAGATGTAGATGTAGCGTGGGGCTCTATCACTTAAAATTTCTTTCTTGATATTTCAGGTTTGAAATATCTGCACGACCAGAAAATAGTACATCGCGACATCAAAGGCGATAATGTACTAGTTAACACATACAGTGGGGTGGTCAAAATATCGGACTTTGGTACTTCGAAACGCTTGGCGGGGCTTTGTCCCTCTACCGAGACGTTTGCGGGTACGCTGCAGTACATGGCGCCTGAGGTTATTGATAAGGGTCTTAGGGGCTATGGGGCACCTGTAAGTCTATTATTATTGTTATTTAGCAAGAAAAAAGTCATTTACACTTTACCTTGACTTACTTTTACTTGACCTTTTAACTATCATTGCAATATTTATAACCATTTTTACTAGGAAATATTATTCAACATTGGCTATTGTAATAATCAAATAATCAATCATCGAATTATTTGAACTTTCTGTTTTCAACCAAGATCATCTAGGGGTCTTCAGCTAACATGAAATAATTGTCTCAGCATGGGTTGTTAAAAAGTAAGGAATGCGGTACAACAAACGAAATTAAAAAAATTGTAAATACTGGCTGGTAAAGCTGGAATATCTGTAAAATAACCTGAAACAATTAACCGATATACAACGTGGCCACATTGTATGGCCGCTACAATGGTGACTTTATTTAACACACGGGTAGGGCTAGTGCCCATTAATCATATTAATTTTGATAGGTTAAAATAACTCGTAAATTGAAAAAAAAATTTTTTCAAACAATTGGGATCACCCTTGCAAAAATTCATTCATGAAATTACTCGGAGCGGCACCGCATCACTTTGCGCGCTGGCAACCGCGCATCGCGTCTAATACCTACTCGTGATCGGTCCGATTCTTTAACGGCTTATTATCAAAGAAACCGAGCGGCGCCGGAGAGTACCTACAGCGGAGATGTTTAGTCAAACACTTGTAGCCAGTGGAAGGAAAAGAGGAGAGCCCGCCGGGCAAGGTGTTCTGCCCTGGGAGCGGCCAACGCTCCGAGTTGTAGTTTTTTTTTTGCGCCCTGAAGCAATTGGAAAGGGCTACCCCGATACGCGAGGAAGTGGAGAATGCTTTATGCATACCACGACAGCCGGTCTGTCGTGGTTATGCGGGACTCACTGTAATTAACTATCCTAACCGGGACCCTAAGTGGTACAAACTAAACTCCACTTTGAGGGATGGGCAGTGAGCTTTGAGGCCTCTCTGCCGAGTCCGAGTTGTAGTTCGGAGCTATTCTATATATACTGCTTTAACTTCGGAACTTTGTTATCGCGATTTAGACTTCGATGTGTTTAGCTTGTGGCGCGACGACAGCACCGCCACACACTTATCATATCACTCTTTTTTGTTACTATTAGTTATAACTGTCATCACTAATCACTGCTTTTATTTTTCTTTATTTTAAATGAGACCACCGTGACCGTTCCTGTTCATGTTTTCCCACACATTTGAAAATAAATTGTCACTTATAGCCATTTCCCTCTATTTCTCAAGCGCATTTATAATTCGCATAAAAATCGAGTGGCGTGAGGTATGGCGATCTTGCTGGTCACCTATGAGGTCCAAATCTACCAATCCATTATGCCCCAAACGTGTCACTAAGCCACTGCCTGGCTGTTATTACAGAGTGTGCTGGCGCGCCATCTAATTGGTACCACATTCGTTGATATCGATGGAAATTTAGGTTGTTTCTGTATTCTGACACCGTATCATTTGTGTGGGGGGGCCTGCGCCGCCCGCTCGCTGACAAAAGGATGTCTCTTTCCGTCAATAGTATTGCTTATTCGTTTTAATTTCAATGATGCGATCTTATGATCCGTGACCCCGTCAAATGACCGCTGCGCGACAGTTCTCTAAGTGCAGGTTGCTCTATGATGCTATTTTCTAAAATTTTAAATAAATTTTAAATATAATTTCTTCATGAAACGAAAATGTGAAAACGTATGTTAAATTAAAGTCACCATTGTTGCTGCACATTGTATCTTGTTTTAAAAAGATATACCTACCTAGTTTGCGGTTTGTTGTAGCGTGTTGGCGAAATTGGAAAAATATTTAACTACGTGCAGTTATGTGCTTGAAAAATTTCACTACACTACATGTCAATCAATATTTATTACGGGCTACGTTTGGCTTCGCATTTAGCTTCGCCGTACCCTATAGTTGCACATTGGTGCACCGAATTTAAACCAGAAAACACCTCATGAGAAATTCAGACCGAGTCCTCCCGTCGGCAAGCATGGGAATGATTGAATATCTCAATATGATTAATTAAACTACTATAACGGAAACTCCGAATGCAGAACAAATAAAAAATATGTGCAAAGAAATCCGTGAAAAATTACGATGCAAACTCACAATTATTGTTTTCTTTCATCTATTTAGTATAGGCACTTTTAATTTAGTTAACGTATACGAAAATCTATTCTACTCGAAAAACCAACAAATATTAGGAAATAATCTGTATACATATTCTGGTCTACCAAAAATGAAACCAGATTGTATCATGAATTATAATAAAAATACGGATGATAAAAAATATTGTAAAGCGTGGCACATCACTACTGAATCGAGGCAAATGCCTAAGTCCTGAGTCCTGAACGTGGCGTTTTCAGCCCTGTAGGCCAAAGGTTAAATTTTGTTTTGAAAAGTTGTCATTTCATACCATTATTATATAATAACTGAAATATAAGTCATAAAATTAAAAATGCTATAACATAATTTGTTTTAGGCGGATATCTGGTCGCTGGGTTGTACAGTAGTAGAAATGGCAACAGGACATCCACCTTTTATGGAATTAGGATCTCCTCAAGCAGCTATGTTTAAGGTGAGAAGAAAAGAGCAACACTTTCACAAAAAAAAAAAACAAAAATGCTTAAAGTAGAGGTGTTATAAACATTTGATATGTAATGCTTTTCTTTTTTCGATTCGTAAATTAAGAAAACGCCAAATTTTCCTTACAGGATTTTAGATAATCTTTTCATTTTTATCTGTATTTCAATAACATAGCTTAATATCACTGTTTTGTCAATGGATTGGCTCGACCGAGGTAGGGCCATGCAACACCAGTTCGAAATGGGACATAATGCTGCTATGAATCGCAAAGCGAGTAATAAGAACTGAAGACCCTTTTAACTGGTAACGAGACATTTCATCTTAGTCTTTAGAGGTGACAGCGCATCTATATTATAATTTTTAATCGTTTATAGAGTAGGTGTCTATGGGCCACAGAATTTAATTACCATCAGATGGACTATGTGCTTGTTTGTCATCCTTACTCCACTTACCCGGACTCCTATTAATTGGAAAATCATTTAAGGTAAAAATTTATATTTTAAATGTAAAAGTTTATGTGGAATTTCTACGATAATTTATATCCCTCTTGAAAGAAACACAGTTGTTATACAGAAATAATTACAGGATATAATATATGCAGGTTGGATATTATAAAATGCATCCGGAAATTCCCAGCGAGCTCTCTCAAAAGGCCAAGAATTTTATCCTCCGTTGCTTTATCCCAGAGCCAGAGAAACGGGCCACGGCTGCTGAATTACTCGAAGATCCATTTCTTTGCGAGTTTGTATAAAATATTTTTCATACTTATAATATTAAAGGAATAGTTTAAATTATTAGCCTATAAGAAGTTTACTGTTGTGCTTGGGGCTCTTATCGATTTACCTTAATTAATCTGAACAGTTTTTCCATGATGGTGCTTCGCGTCGTCTTTAGATATGTAGTTTATATCAGTAGCGAGAATGTACCGAATCATTACGTTTAAGGGCATTGTAAAGTTTCCATTTGCGATCGTGAATTTAAGCCGAGATTGTAACGTATCAGACATTTTTTTAATTTTAATTTGTCAATGACAATGTAATATTCATTTCTATTATTTTTATCTGTACTAATTATTTTCGCCCTGTTTAAATGAAACCATTTCTTATATTTATCTTAAGTACTTTATTTTGAATAAGACTATATTTTACGTATTTGATCGCGCTTTTGTTATATCGTGCCACTGTGTCGATAGGTGTTGGGTGCTGGAAAGCACTCGAAACGTCAAGAATATATAACGATTAGGGTCCATATTAATAAACAGAATATAACGACGAACTCAAGTGCGTAATCATTTGATACGCCCTCATTACGATATCAGCATCTCAAAATCTTTGCTAATAAAAAAACACATAAAAAACCGTATCTCAAGACACTGTACTTAGGAAAACTTTTCTGTGACTTGAGGGCTCGATCTCGTGAATAATAACGTCACATAGACCGAACTTTAGAATTTTGTTCATCACGTTTAGTTTTTGATATATTGTGAGATTTATTGAATACTTTTATTTCGATAAAACTTACATAAATAGAGCTGTACCACGTTATAAAGTTGTTTTCTACTTTCAAAAACCTTAAATTGTTAAAACTATTATGTATGTATTTCTAAATACGTACTTAATTCAATATGTACAAATAACCTAACACAATAAAGCGACGACAGCGCCAGTTTCAAATATAAAACTGTCGTATCATTTTTGGATCATTTTCCCCACATGAAGTGGACCTGGTCGAGCCCCGACGGTTCGACAAAAAATGAGATTAACTTCATTATGACGACCAGACAACAACTGTTTAGTGATGTCTCAGTGATCGCGAGGGTGAAAACCGGCAGCGATCACCGAATGGTGAGAGGCACACTGAACCTAAACGTTAAGTTGGAGAGGTCACATCTAATGAAGTCAACGCTCCGTCCCCCTCGTGCTCTAATCCAAAGTCCCGAAACCTTTCAGCTCGAGCTACGAAACCGCTTTCAGTGCCTAGAAGATTGCAATGCAGTGGACGATATGAATGACAAGCTCGTGGAAACTGTCCATGCGGTCGGAGTTGAGTTTTGCAAGACCCGCCGCAGAAGAACACAAAAACTCTCCGATCACACTCTTAATCATGGCTGTTAGACGGGATATGAAGCTGCAGTCTTCAGTAGATTTGACAGCATATAGGCAACTGAACAGACAGATCTTCAAATGCATGCGGTGGGACTTACGCAACTTTAATACTGCTCGTATTGAAGAAGCGATCGAGCGGAACCAGGGCTCCAAAGTCTTTGCTAGAGATCTGTCTGCCAACTGTCGAAGCTGAAGACCGAGTGTGGCAGCGTCGTTTCCGGGATACCTGAGATTTTGAGTGAGATTGAGAGGTTCTACGGGCAGCTGTACACATCATCGTTGGAGCCACACGCAAGTGTGAGTAACGATCCAAGAGCGAGTCTTATCCGACACTATTCCAAAGATATCCCGTACGTCAGTCTGAGCGAGATTAGAATGGCTCTCCAGCACCTTAAAAACGGCAAGGCCCTTGGCGAGGATGGAATTACAGCGGAGCTTCTGAAAGCGGGTGGAAAACCGGTACTTGAAAAGTCCTTTAGAAGCTCTTTAATTCCGTCCTCCATGGTCGCATTACACCGGAGGCGTGGAGCAGAAGTGCGGTGGTCTTGTTCTTCAAGAAAGGCGACAACGCGCTCTTGAAGAACTACAGACAGATTTCCCTTCTGAGACGCGTCTACGTGCTGTTTTCGAGAGTCATTACGAATCGTCTCGCGCGCAGACTTAACGACTTCCAGCCTCCTGAACAAGCCGGTTTCCGAAAAGGCTTTAGCACCATAGACCACATACATACCCTTCGGCAAATTGTACAGAAGTCCGAGGAGTACAATTTGCCACTATGTCTGGCGTATGTGGACAATGAGAAAGCCTTTGATTTCGTCGAAATTTGGGCAGTGCTGCAGTCCCTTCAGCGGTGCCAAGTTGACTGAAACTCTTCATCGCTGCATTGGAAGACGTTTTCAAGCTTCTGGACTGGAAGGGATACGGTATCAACATCAATGGCGAGTACATCACTCACCTTCGATTTGCCGACGATATAGTCCTTATGGCAGAATCGCTGGAGGACCTAAGCACTATGCTCAATGACCTCAATAGTGTTTCCCAACGGATAGGTCTTAAGAAGAACATGGACAAAACAAAGATCATGTTTAATGTCCATGTCACACCTATGCCGGTAGTTGTTGGGAGCACTAAGCTCGAAGTTGTTGACGAGTATGTTTACCTGGGACAAATAGTCCGACTAGATAAGTCCAACTTCGACCGAGAGGTCAATCGACGGATTCAACTCGGTTGGGCAGCGTTCGGGAAATTACGGCACATCTTCTCGTCAGGTATACCTCAAAACTTGAAAACGAGACTGTACAACCAGTGCATGTTGCCAGTGATGACATATGGAACTGAGACGTGGTCCTTCACTGCTGGCCGGATAAGGAAGCTCAAGGTCGCTCAGCGAGCTATGGAGAGGGTTATGCTCGGAGTTTCTCTGCGTGATAAACTTAGAAATGAGGATATCCGCAGTAGAACCAGAGTGACCAACATAGCCCAACGGATTAGTAAGCTGAAGTGGCAATGGGCCGGCCATATAGCTCGAAGAACCGAAAACGGATGGGGAAAAAAGGTTCTCGACTGGCAGCCTCGTACCGGCAGGCGAAGTGTAGGGCGTCCCCCCACTAGATGGAGTGTCGACCTGGTAAGATAAGCAGGAAGTCGATGGATGCAGGTGGCTCAGGACCGTGCTTTGTGGCATTCCTTGGGGGAGGCCTATGTTCAGCAGTGGACTTGTGAAGGGCTGTAATGATGATGATGATGATCATTTTTGACATTGGAAAATATCTTGATTACTTAGCTTTGATCTCGCGGGATATTTAATTTATATAAAAATGGAAAGCAAGAAGCATGTATTTACTCCGATTAAGAAAAAATGCTTTCCCGGTGTTATAAAAATACAAGGTTATGGTGGAAAATAAGGAGACCGTTGGCACGTCTCTGCATATTAAAAATGAGGCCTGGAGAAAAATAGCTGTAGAAAACAACGCTAGTCCATATACATCTCTAGCCAGATAGGTAATTAATTATAGTAAGTACTACAAATATCACTTTATAAACATTATAACATCAGTAATCTTAATTTCCATAGCAGCATGTACCTAGTCATAACGTTTATTTTATCTTACAAATCGTGCAAATCGTAGATGCCTTAATTATCTACTTTGAAATTTAATACATTATATTAATTTAAGTAATGAAGTAAATTATACCTACTTAAATAAATATACAATATACAACGTAAATAAATATACAACAAATATACAATGTACATAACTGACATGATGCTGTTCCAAAAAACACTATTTCTGAGGGAATTGGAAGACCTCTGTTACTCTATTTCATCAATGAGTCTTTAATGTTGTTATAATATTACTGATTCTTGACCAACTCTGTATCGTTTTTTAAAATTATCACTGTAACTTAAGAGTCCCAGGCAGCCCTTATATAAATTTTTGGTAAACGATATAGTGAAGGCCGCAAAATATCGTCATTGTACTCAATTTCGTCGTAATAATTAATTTCTCTTAAAATATTTTCAATCTCCATGTCAATAATCACGATCTTAAGTCACGCACTGCCCGCACTCAAATTTTACCATCTCAAGTACACACATTTGGCAGGCGAGTTTCGTTTATTAATCAGAGCGTCACTCAGCTGATATCGTAAACCTAAGCCGCATCGTGAGATATGTTTATTAATAAGATCATAACCAATATTGTACTCAAGTGCGTGTACTTGAGTTAAGTAACGTTTATTAATACGGGCCTTAATCTTTTAGTTTTTTTTTCATAGTTGCCTCTTACAATACCTAATAATAATAATCATTACTTTTATTTGTAATGTTTGTAATTATCTAAAAATTTTATCAGTGCTATTCATAGAATAGATAGAATGGAATATTCTTATTTGCATGTAATAAAATAATGTTTAAGCGCCTATGCGGCCTAGACGTTTTATTTGATATTATTTTGCAGGAAAAAGAAGGCTTCAACTCGACTGGGTAATAGCGTGGATTATAGTAGAAGTATCTCCGTCCCTGCAGACAAGGCGCGCCCCGTTGCTCAGAAGAAGATATCCGAGCCTAGTATGCCCGGCAACGTACCCAGCTCTCCAGAGATTGAGTAAGTCAAGCCTAACTGCTGTATGGTAGAATTTGTTTTTGTTGGCTAGCATGAATTTTAGAAACTACTACTGATTTAGTTTTTTTTTATTTAATTAAAGTGGTAAATGATTATTTTTATTGATTCTAAAAAGTTATTTATGACATGGAAAATTAATACATAAAAGAATGATCGCTTACTGCATTCTCTCAATTTCTCCTTATATTTATAATCCAAAGAAGCAATTTTCCCTTTTTATCAGCATGTATATATATGAATCGATTTTCAAAGAATGAATCGTTTTCGTTTTCTAAAGCGAATATGAAAATTTGTCTACAATCAATCATTCTATCTGCGCATTGTGTGATGTTCGCTGTCATGTGATCATACATAATTGGTGAAAGGGGGTTTTCATGTGGGCTATGTTTTATTAACCATTATGATGTGATTACATATATTGTAACATACCATATCACTATCTCTTTTCAAAGTGACCATATTATGTTGTTTAAATTTTTCAACATTAACATTTTTGAAATTTTAGGATATCGGTAAATTTGTTTAATAAAAGTATGGTTACAAACTAGAAGCATCATTTTATATGCTTAATGTTTTCGAAAGTTTATTTTCGTTTTTTTAGGGTTCCGCTGTTCTGCAACCTGAACATTTATATTACTGATTCAGATAAAATTTAGGAGTACGAGTGTGACACTGAAAGTTCTTAGAAAATAAAAAACTGAACAAACTAGCAAGTTATTAGTTTTAATATATCTTTTCAAAATAGTGTCCATTTACATCAATACATCGCTGCATCCGATGGAACCACTGAGAAAAGCACTTTGCCCACTCTTTCTTAAGGGTCCCTTCGACGGCATTTTGAAACGCAGCCACTGCTTCCTTGGCGTCCATAAAACGTTTTCCTCTTAGTTTTTCTTTTATTTTCGGAAATAAATGAAAATCGCAAGGTGCGAGGTTGGGGCTATAGGGCGGGTGACCCAGTAATTCCACGTCTGACGTCGCCAAGTAGTCGATTGTTTGCTTGCCGGTGTGCAACGAGGCGTTGTCGTGGTGAAGGAGGATCCTACTGCGAGGTCGTTTCTCTCGAACTTTTTCCAAGACAAGTGGCAAACAATTGTTAGTGTACCACTCTGCAGTAACTGTTTTTCGATCCTCTAAAACAATTGTTGCCGTAATAACCTGTCCTTCCGAAGAACGAGGCCACCATATTTTTTCCCACGCTTCGACCTCTCTACACTTTAGTTGGCAACTCTTCTGAAGGAAACAACCAGACAGCATACTGTCTCTTAGTTTCAGGATCATACCAATAAATCGAGCTTTCGTCACCCGTAAGTATGTCTAACACAGTGTTTGAGTCATCTCCGTAAAATCTTTGAACCATTTCACGACACCAATCTACACGACGGAGTTTTTGGGCCTCTGTCAAATTGTAAGGTATCCACCGGGCACAAAGCTTCCTGACCGCTAAATGTTCATGGAGGATTTTGTGCTCTTGACTCATACTGATGCCTAAGCTTGTCCGAATCTGCTGATAAGTCACTCTTTTGTCAGTCTCTATCATACGCCGCACAACACTGGTGTTATCTTCAGTTGTCGCCGTAGAAAGCCGTCCCTCACGCAGATCATCGGTGAGATTAGTGCGACCACGTTTAAACTCATTAAACTAGTTGTAAACAATGGCACGAGATGGGGCTTCATCATGAAAGGCCAATTGAAGTCTATCCATAACTTTCTTGTTGACTTAAATGACATCGAACTTCACGCTGACGTGACACAGACAATTTTCAATTTGCCGCCAAATCATAAACAAATAACAAATTAATTAAATATATACACAGTAATATTGTCAAAGAGTTCAATTTTCAAAATTTGAACTCAATATTTTTAGAAAAGAAAGTAATAATACATAATAATATATTATATATTATTATATATATCATTATAAATTATCTACATTTAAACGGAGAAATACAATAGTTTTTCATTAGCCACTTTTAGAATTTTAGCTAACCCATTGTAGTGGGTAAGCGACAGAAAGTCATAGATAACGTCGCTTTGTCGTTAACATTCAAAGTAGCATGCAATGTGTAATATGAAAAAGAGCCTAAGAGCTATTACTGCATACCGTCGGCTAATATTGAAGTAGTAGTTTTAAACTTTAAAAACTACAGATATTGATCAGAGGACGCACAGCGGAACTCTATTTGTTGTGACACATTACTTGGCATTTAAAAAAAAAATTTGTAACAAGCCAAACAGTCTTCAGTAATTGTAGTTTCATGTACAAAAGTTATGTTGCACACTTATTGTTGCTAAAATATTTGGAGAACTTTTTTTTAAATTCTCACAAAGTTTTCACATAGCACTAACTTAGTGATGTTTAATTAAAGCCCAATAATTTTTATTTACAACACGATTATGTGAGAGCGTGTAGTAACTCACTGTCGTAACATTATGTCGATTGCTTTCGCACCTAAGCCTGTATTTGTTTTCCCACCGTCAAGGGTCAAAACGATCCGGTCTAATCCGACAATCACTAGGACGGCCTCATCGATGCTCTCACCGATACTGATTTATCCGCCGGACTTGTCAAACAGCAGGTAACAGTTCATAGCTGCGCTCTTTAATTATAGATGTTTATAGAATGTCTTATGTGCCTATAGAACGTAAGAACTAAAACAGTTTATAATGGAGTAAAATATTTGAAGAGATATAAGTAAAATTGATAATTAATGAAATTTTTAATAACGTAAATTCTAAAAACGCGAATAATGTTGCTAGAAGTTAAAATAAATCAATTGCATTATTTTTAATATCATATGGCATTCTATGATCATTCACTCAATGTTGTATGGTCATCATCACGGTATGTTTTGCACACAAGGCTTTTTTTTTCTTCACTCAGCACATTCAAATATCACATTATACCAAATTTATTACTTTTAAAATAGTTCTTGTGTAAATCAATAATAATAATTAACGCTTAAATATCTTTACTAAAACCTATAACAGAACAATTGCTATCATTGTAGTATTATTAGAAGTGTGGAAAATAGTAGTTAAGTAAAGAAAAATGTAAATTTTTATTTTTCAGTACTATGCCAAATACTCCTTCTACGGATGAGATGGATAGTACCGACACACTCTTGAATAGGCGTAGCTCTTCTGGAGGGTTGCTGTCACCTGAGGTGTGTTCTTTATCACTTTATTATTATTATATTGCCTCTAAAGTATAAAATAGAAAATTATTAAATATTTGTCTTCAAGGTGGATATGACGAACGTGCCTCGTTCATCGATTGACGTAGAGCATGATGGATTTTATCTGCTTAAAAAGGACTCACAGCGCCGTCTCACTCTCTCTCGTGTGTTAGAGCAGGACAGCGAGAAGATTTGCTCAAAATGGATGCTCAGCATTCAACAAGACTTCGGCAATACTGTTTTGACACTGGTGAGTTAATTTCGGTGAATACAAGCTATTTATAAGGAAATTCATATTTTATCTTTTTTATGTTAAACTGTATTGTAGTGTTAGTTATTCAAAAAATATAGCTAATTCGTTTAGCGGTGTCGTAAAAGTATCAACAAGCAAATAGTTAGATGGATGATAAAAGAATTGGTATTAAGAACGCGTTATTGTACAAATAATGTTACTAACATAAAATAAGTAAACACAAAATCAAACTTTTATACCTAAAATTCAGCTATTAATTAGTTTCCTATTGATTTAAAATTCAGTTACTTAGTTGACATCAAGTATAATTATGATGCTAAATTTTTCTACATTTACTAAAAAGGTGTGCAGTTTTATTAGCGTATTTTTGAAATATCTCTATGATTCTACTCTCTATTGCTAATGTTGTACAACCACAGAATAAATTAGTTCAAGAACAAAAGGATCACTCTTCGATAGCAAACTTACGAGTTTCACCTAGTTACAATGTCGCTAATGTTCATAATACTTTGCACGCCTCGGATGCGACCTCAGTTAAGAAATAGCTTACTGATTGTTGCGGCGCCTCTATTACTTCAAAATGTATCTTACGTCCGCGTGCGAAAGTCTGTATCACATAGTCCGTTACGCGCCTTTGTTAAGGCCGCTCCTACTGTAGGGTTAGGTGTTGTGAGAAAACAAATTGAATTTTTTCATATTAGTTATTAGTAGAATACACCGAGGTGTTATGCAATGTATTAGTAATTTGCTGATGATAAGAATATTATTATTCAACGTGGGGAAGGTTAATATTATGCAACGTCGAGAAAATTTAAGATTATAACGCGAAAGTCTTTGAAACTCAGATAATTTACCTACTACATTTTTCACTTTTACTTCAAAAAAGGAGGAGGTACGCAAATTGACTGTATTTTTTTTGTTACCTCAGAATTTTATTCTAGGTGAACTGATTTTGATGATTCTTTTTTATTTAAACGCTGCTGCTTCTCATGTAGTCCCATATAAATTTAATTCAAGAACTGACCAGTAGTTTTGGAGTTAACCTTAATAATGCATATTTAATTGACTTTGACTATATTGATGATATTCTTATTTTATTTATATTGAAGTCATTTGTACAAAAGTTTTAATTTCACCACTTTGTATGTTTCACATTTTTTGATATTTATAAACATGCGACACGCGACGACATTATTAATGAAAAAGTGACTCTTTCTTTTATCGACCAAGTGTTGAACTATTAACCAGTATTGGGTGATTTTGCATTAATAGGCACTCACTAGTACTGGGACGTCTACTTACACTGAATGATTTTTAAGGTCATTGGCATTATACGCGAAAAAATCGAAAATTTAGAAGTTGTGCTCGGGTTGCTAATCAAATAATAAATCTGTAACTATGGCGTGTGTAACTAGGTACCTAATTATCTAGATCTACCTATTAATAATAATATTTTACCTTTCGGTATCCTTAGTAAAGAATGAAAAGTCGGCATTCTTTTTGTCATTTAAGCACCCGTTTACTATTCAGTACTTTTTGGCTTTTTGAGAGATCATACTTGAATAAAAACTCAAAAATAAATATCAAAAGTGTCTATACACTTATAAGAGAAAAATACTTTTGTTAACGTAAGGCGTAGGTATATTTTCATGCCTAAAACGCGGAGTGAGAAAGCCTCATTTTCATTTTTCATTTTCATTACAGCCCTTCACAAGTCCACTGCTGAACATAGGCCTACCTTAAGGAATGCCACAAAGCACGGTCCTAAGCCACCTGCATCCATCGACTTCCTGCATGTCTTACCACGTCGTCACTCCATCTAGTGGGGGGACATCTTCTTGTCAGGTATATCTCAAAGCTTGAAAACTAGACGGTACAACCAATGCGTGTTGCCAGTGATGACCTATGGAACTGAAACGTGGTCCTTCACTGCTGGCCGTATGAGGAAGCTCAAGGTCGCTCAGCGAGCTATGGAGAGGGCTATGCTCGGGATTTCTCTGCGTCATAAACTTAGAAATGAGGATATCCGCAGTAGAACCAGAGTTACCGACCTAGCCCAACGGATTAGTAAGCTGAAGTGGCAATGGGCCGGCCATATAGATGGGGAAAAAAGGTTCTCGAGTGGCGGCCTCGTACCGGCGGATGAAGTTTTGGGCGTCCCCACCACTAGATGAGAAAGCCTGGTATAACTAAAATCATTAGATTGAAGATGGACGTATTTTTAAAAGTAAATAAATCAAACCAAAAATTACCTACTGACATACTCATAAAAATGGAAATCAATTTAAGAAATACTTAATACTGCTCTCTCTCTCTCTCTCTCTCCCCCCCCCACCCCCTCTCCACTTAATGACAATAAAGAGGGACACGAATAGAGATAATTAATACTTAATAATCAGTGAACAACGATTATAAGTAAGGCTGATTGTTTTCAGAATCACTTAGAAACTCTTCGCTGTGCGCTTAAAAACTACATAATGGACCAAAACAAATCCGTAATAGAGCAAGCGATAACGACATTGAAGGAAGAGTTGGACTTTGATTCTAACGCGATAAACGAGCTGCATTCAGCCATATACATGTTCCAAGAAGCCGTGAATGTGGTGCTGAGGATGCACAGTATCAAACCACACTGGATGTTTGCGCTGGACAACTTGGTGCGAAATGCAGTTCAAGCGGCAATCACTGTGCTATCACCAGGTAATTTTTTTTTAAAGCCTTGCCTTCTGCCTAATATTTATTAACCGTGGAAAGTTAATATTTTTCCGTATTGTTAAGGCATTTTAAATACATCAACTCCCTATGGGCAAACAGTCAGATCCGTGTTACTCCTCCTAATTTCCGAACATTCTCCTAGTTGTTACATATTAGATATGAGCAATTTATTTGTTATCACTTTCTCTTTTCATTCAGTTATTGACTTAATTTGAATTGGGATCTGCTTATGGGCCTTTTCTAGAATGAGCCAAATGACTTCTTTCTTGATATAACGTTCATACCTAACACATTTTATGCTTTCTTTCCTTTTAAAAAATATTGCCCCCACTAGGATTTTCCCCTGTAACGAGGAGGCAGTTTACATACATAAATTGCACAAGGACAAACATCGAGACCTGGAACGATTACTTGTAGGCCATATAAATACTTGTTCCGTGCGGGATTCAACCCCGCGACTTTAAGCGTCGTAACTCATTGCTAAGCCACTCACATTACATTGATAATGCTGCTATTTATCAGCAGTTTATAAATGTGTTATTGACATACTATGGTAAGTGACTACCGCCGCCCATGAACAACTGCAACACCAGGAGAATTGCCGGCCTTTTAAAAAGGAATAGGCTCTTTTCTTGAAGGTCCCTAAGTCGTATCAGTCCGGAAAAATCGCTGGTGGTAATTGATTCCACAAGGAAGTTGTGCGAGGAAGAAAACTTCTTCTGATTGGACAGTGCTGGACCGCCAATCATCCAGATGTTATTGATGGTATCGCGAGATTTGTCGCGATGTGCGATGGTGAAATTGAGCGGCTGGAATTAGTCTGAACAATTCCTCAACGCAGATAGATGCGATAAAAAAGAACTCCATCGTCGACGATTCGAACTGCTCTGCGCTGGGTGCAGTCAAGTAGAAGGAGCTGGCACTGGGGAGCCCTTGCCCAGAGATAGGAACAGTATTCCATGTGAGGCCGAACATGCGCCTTGTAAAGTTGCAGGCGGTGTGCCGGCATGAAATACTGTCCCGCTCAGCAGAGCTATTAAAAGCTTAGCGTGCTCTGCTGAGCACGCTAAGCTTTTAATAGGTCAATTTGGCCTTCTCTTCCAAGTGGCCACGAAACTGCACGTCACTCGATATGTCAACACTGACGATTCCGATACTGGCTAAAGCAACAAGGGGAGTGCATTGAAACTGAAGAGATACGACAAAGGGGTTCTTTTTAGCGGTAAACGCGCAAACTTGTGTCTTCTGGTGATTGAACTGGACTAGATTTAGTCGCCCCTAGTCTGAGACATTGTTCAACAAAGTCTCAACTTCAGACACAAGTTTTTTCCGGTACTCGGGGACGTTTTCCTGAGATATACTGGCACGGCCGGTATATAAAGCATCACCAGTGCTGTCGCATGCATAGCAATGAATGTTACTAGTTTGCAACATATCATTGATATTCAGAAGAAACAGCGTTGGTGAAAGCACGCAGCCTTGTGGAACACCAGCGTTAATGGGCTTGTGATCGGAGCATGCACTGTCTACTACGACCTTGATGCTCCAAAGAAAACTGGTGATCCAATTGCACAATTTCTCGGGAAACCCATAGGAAAGGAGCTTCGAAAGAAGCGCTTTGTTCTAGACCCGATCGAAGGTCTTCGCTATGTCTAAACTAACGACCAACGCTTCTCCTTTGGACTCCACTACCTCCGCCCATCTATGAGTTAGGTAACCTAGAAGATCACCAGCTGAGCGACCTCGACGAAAACCGTACTGCCGGTCACTAATCAGCTGGTGATCCTCAAGGTACCACATGAGCTGGCAGTTAATAATGCTTTCCATTACTTTGGAGAACAAGGATAGGCCTAGGCCAGGGGTCGGCAACCTTTTTAGTCGGAAGAGCCAAAAATTACAACTTACAAAATTTCAAAGTTTTTAGGAGCCACAATTTTTTTTCTTGCCAACCATAAATAGTACTTCCATAAATAAAGTTTCTTGATAAAAAAAAACTAACAGCCTTTCACAAGTCTACTGCTGAACATAGGCCTCGCCCAAGGAATGCCACAAAGCACGGTCCTGAGCCACCTGCATCCATCGACTTCCTGCATGTGTTACCAGGTCATCACTCCATCTAGTGGGGGGGGGGGGGGGGGGGGTCGCCCTACACTTCGCCTACCGTTACGAGGCTGCCTCTAGAGAACCTTTCTTCCCGATCGGTTGTCGGTTCTTCGAGATATATAGCTGGCCCACTGCCACTTCAGCTTACTAATCAATTGCCCTATGTTGGTTACTCTTGTTCTACTGTGGATATCCTCATTTCTAAGTTTACCACGCAGAGAAACCCCAAGCATAGCCCTCTCCATAGCTCGTTAAGCGACCTTGAACTTCGTTCGTCAATTGACCTCTCGGTCCAAGTTGGACTTACCTAGCCGGACTACTTGTCCCAGGTAAACATACTCGTCAACAACTTCGAGCTTAGTGCTCCCAACAACTACCGGCATAGGTGTGACATGGACATTAAACATGATCTTTGTTTTTTCCATGTTCATCTTAAGACCTATCCGTTGGGAGACACTATTGAGGTCATTTAGCATAGTGCTTAGGTCTTCCAGCGATTCTGTTATAAGGACTATATCGTCGGCAAATCGAAGGTGAGTGATGTACTCGCCATTGATGTTAATACCGCATCCAACCCAGTCCAGTAGCTTAAAAACGTCTTCCAATGCAGCGGTGAAGAGTTTCGGGGATATAACGTCACCCTGTCTTACACCTCTCTGCAGTTGGATAGGTTTCGTACTCTGATTCTGTATAGCCATCGTAGCTCTACTGTACAAACACTTCATTTCGCTGAAGGGACTGTACCACCGCCCAAATTTAGACGGAATCAAAGGCTTTCTTATAGTCCACATACGCACGCCAAAGTGGCAGATTATACTCCTTTGTCTTCTGTACAATTTTCCGAAGGGTATGTATGTGATCTATGTGTTCGGTAGGCTGGAAGTCGTCAAGTCTGCATGCGAGACGATTCGTAATGACTCTCGAAAACAGCACGTAGACGCGGCTCAGAAGGGTAGTCGATTGTCGCCTTTCTTGAAGAACAAGTCCACCGCACTTCTGCTCCACGCCTCCGGAGTAGTGCCACCATGGAGGACGGAATTAAAGAGCTTCTGAAGAACTTCAAGTACAGGTTTTCCACCCGCTTTCAAAAGCTCCGCTGTAATTCCATCCTCACCTGGGGCTCTGCCATTTTTAAGGTGCTGGAGAGCCATTCTAGTCCGGGATATCTTCGGAATAGTGTCGGATAAGACTCACTCTTGGATCGTTACTCACACTTGCTTGTGGCTCCAACGATGACGTGTACAGCTTCCTATAGAACCTCTCAATCTCACTCAAAATATCAGGTGTCCCGGAAACGATGTTGCCACACTCGGTCTTCAGCTGTCTCTCGCTGGCAGAAAGATCTCTGGGAAACGCTTTGGAGCCTTGGTTCCGCTCGATTGCTTCTTCAATACAAGCTGTATTGAAGTTGCGTAAGTCCGGTCGCATGCATTTGGAGATCTGTCTGTTCAGATGCCTGTATGCTGTCAAATCTGTTGAAGAATGTAGCGTCTAACAGTCATGAGATTAAGAGTGTGATCGAGTTTTTGTGTTCTTCTGCGGCGGATCTTGCAGTACTTAGCTCCGACCACATGGACAGTTTCCACGAGTTTGTCATTCATATATATATATATATATATATATGTGAATAATAAACATAAATATAAAATAAATTTATTTTATAAAATTTTTTTTTTTTTTTTTTATTTAATTTGGCTCATAACTTGTTTTAAGTTTCAAACACCACTCTGAATTTTCATTTGTTAGTTGGCTTGTTACTTTACTTATAATTATATTCATGCAAGAGAACGCTTGCTCGCACGAATATGTCGATCCGAAGATAGTCAGCACTCAAAATGCCAACTTCTTCACCTCACTGTAGCAAATGCGGAAGATTATTCCATGCGTTGAATATAAGTGCCTCAACTCGAGCCATTTCTTTTAAAGCTGTTCATTTTTGTTGCGTTACGTACATTCATATTTGGACCTCCAACCCTTTCAAATTGACTTTCAACTCTGTAGATTTTTAACTCCACAAAGCTTTACTTTTTAAATCGATCAATTGCATTTCTAGAGATCCAGTATCAGTGTGGCTCAGTGTGGATCGATTTTTAAATGTTTTTTTTTTTTATAAAATAAATAATATTTGCGTATGAAACTAAAGAGCCGCAGCTTCACATCCAAAGAGCAGCATGTGGCTCGCGAGCCGCAGGTTGCCGACCCCTGGCCCAGGCCAAGGTAGTTGGACGGATCTGAGCGGTCGCCTTTTTTAGGGATCGGGTGCATCAAAGCTGTGTTCCATAAGTTCGGAACTCTACGCCTAGGGAGTAGGAGTACCGGAAAATACGCGTTAAAATCGGTGCCAATTCCGGAGCACACGTCTTCGGCACAATAAGTGGGACTCCATCAGGCCCACTCGACTTGTTGACGTCCAGAGAGAGGAGTGCTTTACGCACTGAGCGCTGTGTAAACGGCACTTCCTGCATGGAGCACTGACAATGCGGGATGGTCGGCGGTGTGTTCCCCCCGTTATCTAGAATCGAGTTGGAAGCAAAAAGAGAGCCTAGCAGATCGGCTTTCTCTTTTGCATCATGAGCCAGTGAGTCGTACACCCTGTGCAGAGATGGCTGACAAAAGTTCCCTTGGACAGCCTTGGCGAGAGATCAGAATGCATGTGTTCCCGAAGGGAACTAGTTTCTTGCCAATTCTGCCGATGTGCTCTGACTTTGCCTTGGCAATGACACTGGAGGCGGAATCATACTTCTTTTTTTAAGAGCGCTGGTGTTTACATCCCGGGACGTTGATGCGTCAGCCCAGGCCCGGTAGCACTCCTGCTTATAGCGTGCTGCAATTTTACAGGAGTGACCAAATTGTGGCTGAGTTCTGCCTCCGATAGGCACCACAGATGATGGAATAAATAATTCCATTCCCTTAAGTACCACATCAGCGACAGAATCAGCAACAACGTTGAGATCATACGGCGAGAAGCAAACCTGCCACCAAGAGTAGGATGCAAAAAAGACCGCCTCCCGCCCCAATCGGCCGACCTATAGTGCCAAACACGGCGGCAAGCTGCAGATCGCAACTGCGATGGGAGCGTGAGTGGCACCGTACTCTGGATGACAGACAATGACAGACAATGGTCCGAAGAGCCAAGAGGGGCGTCGACAGAGACCTGATATCTGTACGGATGAGAGGTCAGCAGAAGGTCAGCGGAAGGTACATGATCCTCCACATCTGGCGTCCGCGTAGGCGAAGTAACCAGTTGTGTCAGACCATATGCCAAGGCAAAATCATAAACAAATCTACCCGCATGATTAGTTAAACGGGAACCAAGCCATTCAGCGTGGTGGGCGTTAAAATCATCGAGCATCACGATCTCTGCGGATGGAACATGTTGTAGCACGGAGTCTGTAGCCATTTGGACGTGGTCGATTAGTCGGTCTGTGTCGGCATTACCGCTGTGGGACCTATAGAGGCACCCATAGACGCGGGATGGTAGTCGCAGTCCATGCGCAGCCATAGGATGGACAGATACAGGTACGCTGTACCTTCAAGGCTGCCGAGGCGTCGCGAAAACATATGTCCTCTCTGACTTCACGCAAACTCTTGCCCGGGGCACAAAGTAGTGTTTTAATTTGTACCTCGGGTAGGAGAGATACGGAACATCAGCCGGAGAGGACACGTCTCGGTTAGAAAGAGCAAGGCCGGCTTTACCGTCTGCAGATGGTAGTGTACGGCGTTAAGGTTTGAATGAAGTCCCCTGTTATTGCAGATATTCACGGAAAGCGTCGTAGGGGTTGCCTTTGTCTTATTGCTCCGCTTGCCCCGAGCAGGTTTCGTCTTGAGCGGAATTTCACCCCCCCCCCTCCTCCAGAATACGCGGGGTAGCCTGAGCACCCACGCTCAGAAAAAGTAGAGTAGCTTGGGCGTGGATGCTCAGTGAGGGATTCTCCAGGGATGCTGGTACCCTCCTGGGGTAGTCTTCCATTTAATTTCACTACCATGTTGATGGGAGGGGGGGGGGGGAGGGAAATGGGCCTCCGGCCACCTGTACTCACCAGGCGAGATGCAGAAGTAAACTTCTACCTCACGCTGGTATTCTGTGAGGTCGTGGTACCACCCCGGTTCGAGTCGGCCCATCCGTGCGACAGCAAAAGCTGCCGCGTGGCTCTACCACTGTTAAAATGAAATACAGTCAGCCAGCCTATTTCTCATGTCAGTAGGTATCAGGCCATCTTCTGAAAATAGTCTTTCAGAAAGCACTAATGTTGAAATAATTGACAAGTATTTAATCGCCGCTTTATAATCAATGAAGTGTCTTCCTCTGCAACAAAGAAAACTGAAACCACCCACAAACAAGAAAACAAACAAACAAAACCACAGATTGTTGTTCTCGAATGAAACGTCAATCTTTTTTGTTTTCTAGTTCAAGTGAGTCTGGCAAATGACAAAGATTTTGATCATGTTATCAATTTTATCTAATAACGTGAAATATCGATTATTTGGCATAAAATAATCGATGTAATCGATTATTTCAATTTAAGATTAATCGATCGATCATTCTATAAGCCGAATCCATATTGAACATCGCTAGTTTGTTTTATGCCGCGGCCACACGGCCGAAGGTGGCCAAGCACCTTCGCGCTGGGCCGAAAGGCTTAGTTTTATCGCGATAATTCTATCGCGACGTGTGTGACAGAGGCATTAAACAAGGTGGTTTATCAATATCTATCAAAAGTCATAAGATTTTCTTAGAAATTTCCCATTGTCGCCCTTACTTTGGCCTCTTAATAGTCTTTTGAAGGATGTGATATCATCTTCACGCTTGTTGTAACAGATCGCAGAATCACACTACCATATGTGTAATAAATACTAATACTGAGTCAACTTGGCGACTAGACGGAGCAACGATGGGGCGCGGTATGAAGCAGAGCGAGCATTTTTTTCCCGCGTACCACCGTAACAAAGCGCGGGATCTATCCTGCCTATTTTTTTTCAAACGCTCGTTCAAAATGTCCGGTCTTCTTACCATAAGCTCGTAGTCCTAGGTCTTCATTGATCACTCTTTTGACCGTGGTTCTTGTATGGGTGGTGGCCCATCTGAAGAGCTAAGATTTTTTGTTTACGAACAGAATTTCGTTGGATTCGCGACTTCACTGCTTTGATGATCGCGGTTGTTCTAACTGTACGAGGTCGGCCGGTCCTCTTACGATTTTCGAAGCTTGAATCTTCAGTGAATCTTTTAATAGGGCGATAAACAAATCGTAGGGTTATTTTCAATTTTTGTAGAATATTGAAAATCTCTTTTGGTGCGTAACCACAGCGGTGCAACGGGATAACCGCTAATCTGCTTTCTTCGACCACTCCATATTTGAAAATAAATGAAAATATGTCCTTTTTATATAAAAATTTTATTAAATTTTTATTATATTTTTAAAATTGGTGAAGTTCATCTAGCCAGTATTTTTTTTTTTTTTTATATGATAAGGGTGACAAACGAGCACACAGTCCACCTGATGGTAAGTGGTTGCTGCGGCCCATAGACATCTACATCTATCCTCTATTACAAATCAAACTGTAGATGCGTTGTCACCCGTGAGGACTAAGATGGAATGCCTCATTTCCAGTAAAAAGGGCCTCCGGCCACCTGCACTCACCAAGCGAAACGCAGAAGTAAACCTCTACTTCACGCTGGTTTTCTGTGAGGTCGTGGTACCACCCCGGTTCGAGCCGGCCCATCCGTGAGACAGCAAAAGCTGCCGCGTGGCTCTACCACTGTTGAAAAGTATTCAAAAATTTTAAATAATGTTTTGACAGAACTTATGACCCGACTAAGTATTTTACTTATATAGCAGTATTGAGATACTAAAGGTCAACTAGGTAAAATATAGTAAAATTAGGTAGGTACCCACCTGCACAAGCACAGTCCTTTTTCCATTATGACGAATCAGGTGCAGCTGCGGGACGCAACTAGTTTCGTAAAGTCGTAATTACATACTTTGTATAAAAAAAAAAAATTATTACGAGGAATACAGTGAATGTAACGTTATGATATTATTATCTAAGGAAATGTTTTTGTGACAACCCTTGCATGTTTTAAGCGACGACAGCCTTGTAGGTATTTTTCGGTATAACAAGGGAGTTGACTCACTATTAGTATTTATATTACACATAATATGACACTACTGACTTCCCGCAACATTGACGCTGTTGTCTGTGTATTTGACATCTGACAAATAATATAATATTTGAGATGGTTATATCTAAAAAAGTCATAAAGAGTGCAGGGACAATGGCGTTGCGGATTCTCTTACACCGCCGTTAGGCTGCGTTTCCACCAGTGATGTGCGAGGTAGCTGGGCGGTGCGAGGATGAGTAGCGACGCTGTGAGACGGTGCGCAGATGAGCGGTGCGATGATGTGTAGCGGGCTCGTTTTCTGATGCGATCGAGGTGAGGTGTGGTGGGAGCGGAGCGCGCGCGCCACTGCCAGCTGCTTCCTGCGCTCTTCCCTAGCACACGTTCTTCGCAACACATCCCTGACACATCCTTCCCTTGTTTTGTAATATACAAAAACCTCGCTCCGCCAAGCCGATTCCATCAGAGCTACGCAAAGCGAGGCTAGGTACCTAAGTGAAGTGATTCTATTGGTTCTTAACAAACACATCCCTCGCTACGTATCCTCGCACATCTCTGGTGTAAACGCAGCCTTAAACGCCACAAAACTATAGTAAATAACTTTATTTTAAAATTAATTTGTTTAATAATCTATAGAATTAGGAGCAAATCTAGCGGGACAAGATGCAAGACGCAGCGGTGCACAGGAAGCCGGAACTCCTTCAGCGCTGTCCACCGCCACCTCCAGCCGAGACCACCAGCTCCACCAGCTACGACAGGAGAACCACAAGTAACATTTTCTATTTCTCTATTAGTTACCTGTTTTTGCCATAACATAAAGCTGAGGAAGCGAATTAACGATCACCATACTAGCCATTGCGCAACTTTGACACCTCGGTATTTTTCGTCTGTCTATAAGGAATGAACATAAAGTAGGAATTACCGTTACAGCCTCTGAAAAGCCCACTGTTGAACAAAGGGCTCCCCCATAGTTTGCCTTATAAATATTGCCAAATATCCCCCATATTTGCCAAAGTTACCTCGCTTGGCAGGTGGGTTGGCAAAAGCAGTTTTTTTTATTTTTAGTTGTTATTAAGAAGGCGCTGCTGCCCATCTTCTGGTTTGTTTCCCTCCGTTGCCTCTTATGACACCCACGGGATGATATGGGTTAGTGGATATTCTTACAACCCCACTAGCGTCAGTTATACGAGGGCGGCACTGAAAATTTCGGGAATCAAAGAAGTGGCACAACATTACTATTTAAAAATGTATTTATTGCTTTTCGAAGTATTCTCCCCGAAATTTGACACATTTACCATACGATGGAACCAATCATTGAAGCAACCATTCCATTCGGAAGTTGGGGTCTCCAAAATGGCCATTTTGTAGGCGTCCACAGCTTCTTCAGGTGATGAAAATCTCTGTCCACGCAATTTATTCTTTATTTTAGGGAAAGTATAGAAATCATTAGGGCTTAGATCGGGGCTGTACGGCGGATGGTCTAATAATCCTATGTTTCTTTCTTGCTCTAAAAACTCTTTTGTTCTTTGTGCGGTGTGAGAACTCGCATTGTCGTGATGGAGGATGATGCGGCGGGTGCAGTTCTCTTTACGGAGTTCAGAAACGACCTGTGGCAAACAAATGCTAGCATACCATTCTGCATTAACCGTTATTTGTCCCTCAAGAGGAATAGTCGTAACATGGCCGGTTTTGAAGACAAACGTGGCCACCATTTTTTTTTTGCAACACTCTGTGAACGAACAATTTTTGTTGGCTTTAACTCATTTTCGAGCACCCAAACTCGTGACTGGTTTTTTGTTTCGGGTTCGTACGCATATATCCAGGATTCGTCACCTGATACGATGTTGTATACAGCATTTGAGGATCCTGCGTGAAATCTTTCGAGAGTTCTGACGCACGAATGTGGTATCCATCGGGAAAACAACTTTTTTACACCTAATTGTTCATGCAAGATTATTTGTATTTGACTCATGCCAATGTCTAAAGTTGCCTGAATTTCGCGGTATGTCACATGTCGATCTTCCTCAATCAGCTTACGCACAGCATCAAAGTTTTCTTGGGTGACTGCAGTTTTTGGACGACCTTTACGGGGATCATCACAGCTTGACACGTCCACGTTGAAATTCAGCAAACCAGCGATAAATTGTGGTTTTGGATGGGGCTTCATCACCAAATGCAGAAATCATCCGGTCAACACACTGTTTTTGTATTAAACCACTTCGAAAGTCATAATAAATCATCGCTCTTGAATTTTCTCGAGTCAATTCCATTTTCTCAACGACTAAACAAGTTTGACAAAACCTTGTGACAAGACCGAGAATCTTTTTTTAAATAAATAAATGGTATTCGATTTTTAAAACCAAGGACTTTTCAATTAAAAAAAATTTAATATGACAGGAACAGTGGAAATATTCCATTCCCGATACTTTTAGTGCAGCCCTCGTATTAAGCCCTATAAATTATTCCGGAATTTGTTACTGTTGAATAAAAGAATTAGCAAAAATCCTCTTTATATTCAGCAATTGATGTTTACATGTAAATGAATGATTTATGGTCGAATAATGTCGAATTCGAATAATGGTGTGCATATGCGTATTATTATTATATTTCATTTTATCAAAGCTACCTTCGAAATACTATCATTTATTCAATTTATTCGCAATATTAATGTGATATATTTGAGTTGAATTGTTTAATTAAAATTTAATGTTTGTCTTATAGATTATACCAGGAACTTTTGGAAAGTTATCAACAGAACCAGTCGTTGCTACGTTTAATGTTGGAAGAGCAAAAAATGCAATCACAGATGATTCGAGAGTTCCTGGAGAAGAGGCCAATGTAAGTAGTACAATGAAATATTGTGAGGAACATCTGGAAAAAAATTTATTTTTCTAATATCATCAGGTTGCGTTATAGAGAGTAACAGTTAAATCTCATTGTAGGAAAGATTCTATAAGCTCCACTTTTGGCGGGCGGATTGGCCTTCGCATTACTTGACACCCTCACTTTTTATCATGTATTTATTATATTCGAGATGTGTGAAACGCCATCTATCTGGGGCTACAAGATGTTCTATGCTTTTAGATTAACACTATTGTCCACGGAGATGTGAATTCTTTTTAAAGAAGTGGAGTCAAATGGCATGTGGTTCACCTACCTAATGGTAAGTGATCGTCGCCGCCCATGAATACCTGCAATATCGGAAGAATCGCAGTTGCGGTACCGCCCTATGATCAAGAAGTGGGATCTTATTTTTTTTTATGTTACGCTGTATCTTTGGCAATTATAAACCGATTTTTTTTTTAATTGTAAACCGAGCTTTCGGGGGAAAATTTCACCTCTAATAATGGTAAAATAAGGAATGAAGTTTTTTATGTAACTATTTAGAGGATATTCTGTCTTAGCACGGCTTTAGAAGCTGTTGTGTAGAAATTGTTTTATTGTTATTAGTTTTTAGAAGTCAATTTTAAATTTATGATCGACGGCCTTGTAGAAAATTTGACATTTAAAACGCGTTTGAATTGAAACCTTCAGAAAAATAAACTTTGAAAGAATGAGACGAAGGCAGAGTATCAGGAGTAGAAAAATTGTAGGGTTTATTTATTTTAATATTGTTACCAAGTTTTATAATTATTTTACATTTTATTTTTAGACATATAGAACCTAAATTTTGGCATAATAAATCAAAATAATATTTTCTTTTGAGTAAAATTACTTTGTAATAGCGCCATTTACTTCATTCTATAGGTAAATTATTTTTATCTAACTAAAATTAATTGACCTTGTGTCTATTTTACGTACCATTTAAAATAAATAAATAAACGCTACATGGCTAAACATTATGTGTCAGTAAGTTATGAAATCGTGGATTGTTATGAATGGATTGGAAATGATAATTTAATTCTATATGGTTAATTTTATTTATTTAATAAGTTTGTTAATTTTTTTAATTGTTTATTTTAACAGCTATAAGTAAAATTAACCATTTTTAAAGTACCGTACAAAAAGAAGACCGAGATAATAGGAAATACTGTGTACTGTATACCGTTACATTCTCTTGCAGGTTATATCCTATAGAATTATATGTTTGCCTTTGCGTCGCTTTTTCGTTTCATTGATTTTCAAATCACCAAAGATTCTAAAGAAGTTCAAATATCACATTGTACCACAGAAGCGAGGATGCGGACGACACGGCGGACATCGGCGGCGCTGAGCTGGAAGCGCTGCGCGAGTGGGCGTGCGGCCGCGGCGTGCCCGAGGCGGCCGTGCGCGCGCTGGCCGCGCAGCGCTTCACGCTGCCCGACCTGCTGCAGCACGCGCAGCGCGAGGACATCGCACGCCTCGCCCTCAAGTAAGTCCCCGTAGAACCTAGCCTAAACAGGGCTGATCGTCTTATTGCATACAGATTTTACGTGCTAGAGCCGTGCTGCTGCTATATTATAGTAGTAGCACGAATGAATCGGCTCTCACAGAATACCAGCTCAATACCGCTGTGTTTTGTATGGTAAGTGTAGAAAACCAGATATCTTTTTACTGGAAACGAGAAATTCCATCTTAGTCCTTAGGGGTAGCAACGCCTCTGCATTTCTATTCTGAATCGAGGGTAATAGATGTAGGAGTGTGGGCCACAGTTCACTTACCTTTTGGTGAACTGGTCATTATTCTGCTGTGTTAGGCTGGTATTCAGTGAGATCGTAGTTGATCCTCGGTTGATCCCACCCATTCGTACTGCAGTCGTAATATGGTTGCGGCGTGGCTCTACCACACAGTCATTCATCTCTACAAAGTAAGAGACCCATATCCAGCGACTATCATGAGCTGAATAAATAAAATTTGATAAAAACGAGCGAAAAAGTAACAGAATACAATAAAATTATAACGATAAATTTGTGACAGCTAAAGCATATTGTCCAGACTAATTACTTTTTACCACTTCGTACGGAAGTGTGTGAATTACTTACAAGAAAAGTTTACAAAAGTGAGGGCGCGATGAAAACCGACATTTTAGATTCGTTTTTTTATTGAAAGGGGTAATATCATATTATTGAATTATCATCATCATCTTTATTACAGCCCATCACAAGTTCACTGCTGAACATAGGCCTCCCCAAAGAAATACCACAAAGCACGGTCATAAGCCATCTACATCAATCGACTTATAGCATCTCTTACTAGGTCGTCACTCCATATAGGGGGGGAGGGGTTCTCTTATGCTGCGTACAAACTGATGAAAGGTAACGTGTAAATAGCATTTTAACTGTTATCAGCGTGTACACAACGCAGCGTCTGCACGAACCGAACATGTATCTACTAGCATCTGAATCCGGCGTTCGCCCGAACATAGCGTCAGTCTGCTCAGAAAACGCGAAATAAGATGGAGTGTGACGACCACTTGCTGCCTCATTGCTTCATTATTAATAATATATCAGGTTTAAAAAGAAATGCTTGTAGCGTGCGCATGAAATACACTAGACTAGACTAGACTATGAAAGTTTGTTACAAATTGTGTTACATTGCACGATAGATTGCACTAATGTGAACGGCAAATTTTTCATTTCATGTTAGGTATGCTGCGTAAGTCTGTACGCGGTATCACCGGTACGAGACTGCCACTCGTGAGTCTTTTATTCCTCATCGGTAGCCGGATTTTCGAGCTATATGGCCGTTCCATTGCCATCAGCTTACTGATCCGTTGCGCTATGAATATTATTATGAATAGTAAACTATTGTATTAAAAATATATTACTGCATATAAAGGCGAGAATTAAATTATAGCACTTATTAGTGCCACCGTGTTTTGAGCATAGTCGCAATACGAAAATTAAGTTTTGAGTTGCGCATCTATCTTTAGATAGTGATAATCTATGTATAGTATTTAAGGCATTGTTATTGTTTAGAATATTTGTTGGAACAATTTTCATTGTTTTTCCTCAGGGGTGGAATAGAATTACGTCTATGGCGTGCGATTTTGGAACACCGTTTACAGTCCAATTGCAACAACCATCTTCGTCGCGCGAGCAGCACCGAGACAGACATGGACACAAACTCCATCGTAGTGGTCGAATGTCAGCGCTGCAAAACATCAAGAACTATATCGAACAACTCGTCGTGCTCCAACAACCCAACCATCGTTATTAGAGACCAACAAGTGAACGGCGAAAACACCGTAGCGGAATATTGCACCGAGAATGGGATAGTCAATCTCTGACTATTGCGCGGGTGGTGCTCTCTGCAATGAAGGCCGTCAATATTATGGTATTTGGAAGCGACTGTCAAAACACCACATGAACCTCAAGACCCGATATTTTCTTTAAGGGCGCGTTCATACTGTATTAACGTTGTTCGATTATATTTTTTCTTTATAACGAAATAGTTCATTGAATTATTAAAATAAACAAACGAAAATTTTAAATCTAACAGTAATTTTTGGAAAGGTAACGTAACATAACGTTTAATCTTCATCTGTGTGGATGCAACATTACTTTCTTTATAGATTTGAGTTGAACTCAAAATTGTAATATTTGCAATATGCAAACATTATGTATTTCCATAGCAATAATTATGAAAACTTAGTTCATAGTCATCCATCATTTCGTAATATATTCTTGGCTTATTTAATACTAAATAACGATCGCTCATAGCAAGCACTATGTAAAAATTTCGTTGTATCTTAAAATTTTCTGCTTGAATGTACTAAAACTTCACGTTTTTTAAATCTTCTAAAACGTCTAAACTGCAAAATCAGTAGATCTAACAGTTAGAGAAAGACATTGCAAGTTATTTTTATGTATGATTATTTTTCAAAATCTTAATGATTAATAAAAATCCCATAAATAACAGATATTAAAACTTACAAAGTGTAAAATGCATAACAGTAAATTTTAAGCAAATTTATCACCATAATCGTTTTAAATTCTAACAAAGCTTGCTACTCAAATGGAAAAAATTGCATTGTTTAATTAGCTTTTCAATGATTAATAAGTCGCTTGAAATAACTGCACGAGGCCTCGAGTGTATCACCCATTAACTTGCATATGTACATAGTTCATTCATTAATTGTTATTGCGAGTATATTGTATATACATATTTTAATTACTAAAGCATAATATTCAAATACCACAGCGTTTCTGTACAAGTCTGTCTGCATTCTCAGTTATCGTGAATGAGGCTAATGAAGAAAATGGTCTCTTCACGTGATGTCCGATGTCTTAATCGTATCCATTTTCAACAAGATTTCTAAGAAGAATAACACAATTTATAAAAATATGTTTAATAAATGCCAATAATTCTTAACTATATTTAAGAATACTAAACTTCACGAGAACTTTCACAAGGCATGTGGGTTAAAATTAAAATTATGAATTATTTTTTATATCTACCTTCACGAACGATAACATAAATGGTGCTAGCATTATTTTTGATTTACTGCAAAGAAGTGCCTTTCGTCACTATACGTTTGTAATCATTCGTAGAGACTTATAACGTTTTATAAAAACATGTAAAGACGCGTACAAATTAAGCGCTTAGAGTTAAGCAAATTATTAAATTAATGAAGTTGATGTCTGTTTACCGCTAGGGTATTTTTAAGGCAATCTGATGCTATAAAAATCATAAAATAATTTTACGTGCCATACATATTATCATATATATTTATTTAGTGCATAGTTTATGAGAATATGTTAGTTGTAATGATTGAGAAATGTACTAAACTTTGTTAATGTTTTTACGTAAATAATTTAAGGATTACTTTGTATTTGATACAAAACAACATGTTATATTATATCCGAAACGGAACGTACTATAAATATATGAAACGTTTGTATAACTTCATAAACTTTAAGTTTTTTTTTTTGCTGAAATGAATGTTTATTGTTAATCATATAAATTAAACGAAACACCTTAAATACAAGTTCAGGTTTTAATTTTTTTGTTCAAAATTGACGCTTAGTATTATAACTTGAACGATTTTGTATTTTTATTCTTTAATTTCAAAACGTCGCGGTGAGATTAATAAGCGTTTTATTTTGTTGTTAATGAAAATTCAAACAAATTATGTTTATATTTCTGCTTTTACATAATATGTATAGTAAATCAATATCATTATTAAACATACGGTGTATTGTTGTATGTTAAGCACTACTACTGTAGTAAATACTCATTAATAAATTTAAGAATAATTTACAAAGTACAAAATATGTTAAAATATCTACTTAATTCGTTGTTGCGTCTAATTGGATTCTTACAACGCGTGCTGGTGCTGTGGTATTCTTTCTTTTATGTACTTACACATACGTATTAAAATATTGAAGAAATATCAAAAAATAATCGCAATCGCCTAGTCTCTGCAGTTTACAGTTTTTATCAATAAGATTATTTTTGAAGTCAGAATAATACATTTATATTATATACTGTTAATAATTCGTAAATACGAAAATAGTTTTTTGATATCTATTTTGATATACGCCGTTTTAAATCATAAATTTTATCAAATATCCAACATTTATTAAACAGTAAGAATTAAAACGTGGATCTTAAGCATCGATCACTAATAAAAAAACTAAATACACAATAGACAGCTAAATACACAAAACAATCCCATGCAAAAGTTCTCTAAAAACTGTCGCCAGTTGTTTTGACGTAATTCTAGTTGAAATAAATATACATTAATGTAAATTCAACCTTAAATGCATTAAAAAGCGCACCCAAATGTTCGAGTGGGCGCTCATTCGGTAAGGACATTTTTTGTCACTGATTGTGTTTCTAATAATTTCGATATTAAATAAGTCAACAGCTCCTTTTAATGGCTTCATAACTAATATTTTTATATTAACTCCTAACGTTTTTAACACATTACCAGTTACGTTGAGCTTATGCAGTTCAGGTCAGTCAAAGTCTAGACTTCCTCGCGAGCCTTTGGTCCTCTTTTAAGTATAAATATCTCCATTCTCCACACACATGTTTATAATAGTATTTGAGTATTTTAATGCAAAATTTATTAATTAATTTTACGAGTTTCTATTGTAATCCATCGTTCGATCCAAAGTTTTATTCTTCTCTAATACAGACCATATTCTGTTGTGGCTTCCACACAAATACTTAAGAAAATTATAACATTAATATAGGTAATCGGTAGCCCTGTGCTTCTACAAATACATGAGTGGAATAGAATCTCATCACATAGAAGCAAATTTAATTATTATTGATTCAAAAGCGTTATTTTACTTTAGATTATATTCATTGCAATTATTTTCGTTAAGCTTTTTACCAAATATATCAAATTTGAAATTAAAATTGAAAAATTCTATCCATCTCATATTTATAGTAATATCCTTTCGTTAATCATGTAGAATGTTTGAAATGACGTGTAAATCACTAAATATATTTGATGAATATTTTCCTGTAACTTGTAATTTTTTTTTCAATAAAATGTTTACTTTTCCGAAGAAAAGTATGTATTGGTGTTGTCTTTCATTTTTATGGATTACGAATAAATATGTAATGTCGATAATTTTTGTCAGAAAATGACACACCTGTAACTTTCCCGGTTACCTAATAAAATAATGAAATAAATATTTTTTTTTTAATTTTGTTCTTGAGTAATCATTATATATATATATATATATTGTTACGGCCTACGGCTGCTCCCGCAAGGGTCAAATCCTCCAGGGCCCATCAGCAGAAGACTTCACGAGCAGACGTAGGTCGGGCCTCAATATGGCCACGTGGAATATGTTCTATCACAATAAACTATATGGGAGAAAGCTAGAAACACATAGTACTTACCATTATCCGAAGCTAACTTCGCACCAAGGCTTGGGCAGGCCGTGAGTGTGTGTACAGTGAGGTGTAAATGTCTGCGACCTGTGCAAGCTTAGGCGACCCGCAGCGGCCGAGTTCCAGGCTGCCCCAAAATGCTGCATCGCTCCAGCAGGCTCGATCGCTGGACCATTTCTTTCTTCATTGTCACTAATTTAGTCTCTTAGTTTCATTGTACCTTTAACTAACTTAAATTCGCCTAATTCCACATTCATCGTAGAATCGAACACGTGATACCCGACAGATTCAGCGTTAAACACAACTAAGTTCCTCCATTCCACACCAGAACAACACGTCGCGCAAGATTCAAAATACGCGTCGTTGACACGCGAATTAATCTAACTAGCCAACCAAAACACAAAAGGGGCACTAAACGCGACCGAATCCTAGACCGTATATCTACTAGACGCGCGTACACTATTCAGCACTCTCGCCCGAGTTAAATATCGCACAATTCACATATCTACGTGACGAAGAAGCACGTACTTCATCTAGCTATCTAGATCCACGACGGGCCGTGAATTTTGAGCCTGACGGTCTCCCCGCCTCGTGGCTGGCTGGGCACCGACGTTTTGCCCACGCGTCGAGCGGCTGACTCCCACGCGTCGAGCGACTGACTGCCCACCTCGGCGTCTCTCTCACCGGCGTACCATCGGGTGAGGCGCCAGCTCAAACGCAATTGGGTGGCGTTAAACATGACCAAATTTGGGCATAAACATATATCATTATATTCATACCCAGAAGGGTTGCCAGAGACTACGGACCTTCATTTGGCACGATGCTGATATACGTATTTCGCTTCTTTCACCTCTTATTATAAAGCAATGTAGGCAAAGCAAGACATCTGTTATTGCGGTAGTCAACCCCACTCTACCAGCGTGTCATTTATGGATAACTACCTACACCGGGGGAGGTAAATGTCCAGCTATGGACGTTTTAGAGTTCATACATATACCTAATAAAGGTTTAAAAGCTTTTAGAAAAATTTACTTCGCAAATATCCGCGTTATAAAATAAAATGATGTCTCACCTAGTATGAAGAGCACCTCCCGCCGTCCCTCAATCGCGTGCACTATCCCCGTCACCACTAATCCCAGCACCGCTACTCCCAACACCACTACACTAGGCAAGACACACCACTGACGACAATACGACACGTGTTTCACTTGTACACGAGGCATCCTCAGGTGATATAGACTTTACGGTGGCTAACCGCTAAGTGAGCGGCGAGCGAAAATAACTGCTATTTATACAGACTGTATAAATAATAATACACATCATTTTATTTTATAACGCGGATATTTGCGAAGTAAATCTTTCTAAAAGCTTTTATATAATGGATTTCCGCAAAGTAACGCCTGATTCTATCAATTATAATAAAGGTTTGATTTA